TGCAGGTCCTGGGCTCTTCCACCTTTTGCCATGGCTTGTCCACGCACGCATGAGGCCAACCTGGGGTCTCTGTGTTGCCTCCTGCCGACTCAGCTATGATAGGTGTGTGTAGGTCTTTCCTTCCCCAGGTTTTGGTTTTCTTGCTAGCCACCTTTTTGCTCATTTTATTTGTTTAATGTTTATTTGAAGGGTCTGGTGCAGTAGCCTCGTGGCTAAAGTCCTCTCCTTGCATGCGCCTGGGTCCCATACGGGCACCGGTTCATATCTTGGCTACTCCACTTTCCTTCCAGGTCCCTGCTTGTGGCCTGGGAAAGCAGTCAAGGATGGCCCTTGGAACCCTGCACCTGTATGGGAAGCCCTGGAAGAAGCTCCTGGTTCCTGGTTTCACATCAGCACAGCCAATTGCAGCCCACATGGGGAGTGAATTAATGGATGGAAGATCTTCGTCTCTTCTCCTCTCTATCAATCTGACTTTCCAATAAAAATAAATAATTTTTAAAATTAAAGAATAAAATTTATTTGAGCTGGAGAGAGAGAGAAGCAGTGACTACCTATCCACTGGCTCATTTCCCAAACATCTGTAACAGCTGGCTGCATCCAAGGGTCAGGGAGTCTGCAGGGGTCTTCACTGTGGCTGAGATTTTATACATGAAATGTATTAATATGAGATGCCCAGGTCCCTGTTATGAATAAAGATATCCCTCTTCGGACCTCACAGAGGTGGAAGCACTGTCACCCATATTATCTCACATTATCCCATTTCCCCAGAGATGGGTCTGTTGAGTGGTGACAGTCGAGGTGGCTGCAGGGGACTGTCATGGGATGGAGACGTGCCGTGGCCTCTTGCTGCCAGATGACGGTCACGGGGACAGAGGCTGCAGAGCTTGGTGACACCTGGCGCCAAGCCTGCACTTTCAGCTCTTTCCTGAATGTGTGGGTCCACCCACTGCCTGCAAGGCCAGCACCAGTAGGAGCATTGGTCAGAGTCCTGGCTGCTCCGCTTCTGATCCAATCTGCTATTGTGCCTGAGAAAGTATCAGAGGATGGCTCAAGTGCCTGGGCCCCTGTACCCAGGAGCAAGACCCAGATGGAGTCCCAGGTTCCTGGCTTCAGCCTGGTTCAGCCCTGGCTGTTGCAGCCACTTGGGGAATGTACCAGCGGATGGAAGATCAGTCTGTGTCTTCTTGTAACTCTGCCTTTCCAGTACGTAAACCTTCAAAGCCAATGATCAGCTTCTGAGCCTCCAAAGGGGCTGAGCAGTGCTCAGGCCCTGGTCACAGCTTCTGCCTGCATGGCACGCAGGGACAGTGTGGTCATACCCCTGCTGTACCAGGGTTAGGAAGGAGGGCGGGATTTGGAGTGCAGAGTCCAGGCTGGGTTGTGGGCAGTGTGGGGTGAGCAGGCAGAAGCCCAGAGTCTGCAGACTGAGCTACACAGTCCAGCTCAGCCCTGGCCATGGGACACTCTGCCTGGAACCAGCCAGGACCTGGGGCGGATCTGTGGGAAGCGTGTGAGCAGAGGCCATGGTTTTTATCTGATGCTTGGGGGGCTTCAGGTGCCTATAAATAAGGTTTCTTTTTCATTTTTATTTGTTTAGATTCATTTGATTTGAAAGCTCTCTCTCTCTCTCTCTCTCTCTCTTCAACTGCCTGCAATAGTCAGGGTTGGGCCAGACTAAAACCAGGAGTCCAGAACTCTATCTGGGTCACAGGGAATCAGGTATTTAGGCTGTCGCCTGCTGCTGCCCGGGTGCGCGTGAGCAGGAGGCTGGACTGGAAGCAGAGGAGTAGGGAACAAAGCCAGGCACTTAGGCATAGAATACGGACAACCCAAGCAGCATCTCAACCACCACACCAAACACCCCGACTCCTGCTACACGCATGCTAATGGCTTTAAGCCAGGAAATAACACAGTAGGTTTCTCCAGGCCGGACTTTCAGCTCACAGGCTGTTGTAGCAGGACAGGTTGAGCGACTGTGAGATGACACGAGGAAGAGGCAGCTGTGAGGAAGGTTTCGGACTCTATGGGACATGTAAGGGCAAGAGGATAGGTTGAGCCAGCACTATGTTTTGTTTTTTTTTTTTAGATTTTTTTTTTTAAATTGGAAAGTCAGATATACATAGAGGAGCAGAGACAGAGGAAGATTTTCTGTCTACTGGTTCACTCCCAAGTGGCCACAACGGCCGAAGCTGAGCCAATCCTAAGCCAGGAACCCGAAACCTCTTCCAGGTCTTCCATGTGGGTTCAGGATCCCAAGGCTTTGGGCCGTCTTCAATTGCTTTCCTAGACCACAAGCAGGGAGCTGCATGGGAAGTGGGGCAGCTGGGATTAGAACCGGGTCCTATATGGGATTCTAGTACTTGCAAGGCAAGGACTTAGCCACTAGGCTACTGTGCTGGGCCCTAGCACTATGGTTTGATGAACAGTGGCCCTCCCTGACACCAACCCAGAGAAACAGTTGTTCCACACAGGCAAGTGAACTGGAGGCAGGTGGGACAAAGATTGCAGAGTTTGGGAATGCAGGAAAGATTTGGAGTAGAGATCCAAACTGGAGAGTTACCAGCACATAAATGCAATTAGAGCTGGGAGAGGCTGAGACGATCCAGGGCAGTTATTGCAAGGGAAGAAAGGCTCAAACAGACAGAACCCACATGAGAGACAAACAGGCCCAGGGAGGATGCACAAGGAGCTATGAGCAGGAGAGCCCTTGTGGGTCTGGGATTTGGGGAACATTTCAGCAGGGGCAGGGTAGGAGTTGTACTTAGTGCTGCTTACAAGTCAAGTAAGATAGGAGTTAAAGGCAGCAAGAGGGGCCAGTGCCATGGTGTATCAGGCTAAGCCTCTGCCTGTGGTGCCGGCATTCCAGATGGGCACCAGTTTAAGTCCTGGCTGTTCTGCTTCTGATCCAACTCCCTGCTAATACACCAGGGAAAGCAGCAGAGGAGGGCCTAGTGCTCAGATCCCTGCAGTCCGTGGGAGATCTGGAAGATGCTCCTGGCTTGGGATAGGCTCAACTCTAGCCATTGCAGCTAGTTGGGGAGCGAACTGGTACATGAAAGTCTCTCTATCTCTCCTTCTCTCTCTGTAATTGTGCCTTTCAAATTAAAAAAAAAAAATCTTAAGGGAAAAGAGCAGGATTTCATAAAAGCATGGAGCACAAAGTAGGCTGGAGATAAGTAGGAAGCAGAAACATAAGTGGAGACAACCAGGTAAGAAATTTGGTACTAATAAACAGAAGCAGAGGATAGATCATAGATGGATGGCAATATAGATCACAGAGATGTAAGTAAATATGCAGATATGGGACTGGTAGCATAGTAGACTAAGCCTCCACCTTTGGTGCCAGCATCCCATCTACTTCCCATTCAGCTCTCTACTTGTGGCCTGGGAAAGCAGTGGAGGATGGCCCAAATCCTAGGGCCCCTGCATCCATGGGGGAGGCCCACAGCAGGATCCTGGCTCCTGGCCTCAGATTGGCTCAGCTCTAGCTGTTGTGGTCATTTGGGGAGCAAACTGGTGGATGGAAGATCTCTCTGTGTTTCTCCTTTCTGTAAAATCTACCTTTCAAATAAAAAGGAATCAATCTTAAAAATAGATAGATAACAGAGTACTAAGGGAAGGGCAGATAGGTGATGGGCCAATGGAGGTAGATGATACATGGATGTTTAACAGGTGATAGATGGTGGGTAAGTGGATTATAGGCATATTTTAGATGCATAGATGATGGAGATGGATGGATGGAGAGATAGACCAGAGAGTGGCAGGGTTATGCTACCAAAATGGAAGCAGCAAGAACTTGCTACATGCAGACAGAAGGAGCCAGGGCAGGGATGGGAATACTGACTGCAGTAGAACTTGTGCAACTAGGGAAGGAAAAACCTGGCTTCCACTGAGTCAGAAGGGAAGATGGAGGGCAGAGGCTGGCAGGAGCATCGGTGTTGGGGATGCCCTGAGGGAGGCCCTACTGGTACTTCCTTTCTGAGGGAGGACTCCATGCATTGGCAATGGAGGGCAGGGGGCAGCAGGAACAGCTGCTCCTGGGGGACCAGAGCCCAGGGCCCAGCTCAGGGAAGGAACACTCAGAGTGGAGTTCCCTGTACTGGGCAATTGGCAGCCTCAGGCAGCACCCATAAGCCACAAAGCCACCAAGTTTTGCCAGGAGGCCACCCCAGAGGCCAGCCTGGTTACCACAGCCATTGCCACCTACTTGGCATGCGCTCGGCACACAATAGCGGCCATGGAGGGAGCGAGAGAGAACACTCGGTGAAGTGGGGATAGGCACCCGGGGACCCTGCAGGGACTTAGCACCTCCTGCATCCCCAGCTTCTGGATTTTCATTTCCACATCATGAACACAGATCCTAGGCTGGCCTCCCACAGTTGGGGTGTGGCAGTAAGGGCACTTGTCATGTGTGCAGCCGGCCCCTAGGAGGCTCTGCAAGTACACATGGGAGCATGGCAAGGATGAGAGGAGTTGTGGAGGCTGCAGCTTTTTGAAACCCAAAGCCCATACATATGGGCCAGCTGGAGGCTCCCAGGGCATGTGTGGTGGACTCTGGCCAGTGACTTACAGCCCCGGCTTCTGAAAATGCTGGTCAGGGTGTGACTGGGGTGTGGTCGGGTCCGAGCAGGGTCACTCAGCCCCCTGGTGCGCCTGGTGATGGGTGTCTACAAGGTGTCCCTCTGTGCTTCACACACAGTAAGACCGCACATGGCCCATGGGCAGGTGACACCTGCTGGGAAAGGGGACAAGGAAAAGCAGAGGGGCTCACAGTAGCAGCAACCAGAGGCCAAGTGCCAGGGCCACGGACCTAAACACTTTAATGTACTGCTGGCAGAGTGATCTGCTCCCATTACCCAGGCCTTTCTTGCTGGCAAAGGGAGGGACCTGGATGTCCGAAGCCAGTTCTGACCACCACAGCTCAGCAGAAGAAGTTCTCTTGCACAGTACCCTGCTTCCTGGTTGCACCAGCTCTAGCCTATGTTGATGCTACACATCTGTCACAGCTTGGGAGGAACAAGGGGCTCCTGGGAGCCCTGCATCTGGTCAAGGCCAGGCAGGGAGGAGCTGTGGTCCCAGCTTCCCAGGGTGCTGGCTGTGCCCTGTATAGCCTCCCGTTCTCTCAGTAGCTCCACAGCTGCCACCTCCACTTCCTCGTGTTCCATGTGACAGGCATCTGCCAAGGCCTGGCCTGTGGCCATGACGAAGCCAGCATCAGCTGCCAAGGTGTCCAGGCCTCCTCGAAGCAGAGCCTATAGGGAGGAGGGGAGGCTGGGTGGGGTGGGGTTACAGTCTCCAGGCCAGGCTGCTCTGGGGCTGACCCTCAAGACCACCCTCTGCTCCCACCCAGCCTCACCTCTCGGATCAGCATGGTTATGGCAGGACCTGGGTGCTGAGGGGTGCTCCCATTGGAGCACCTGCTCTGGGGCACTTCCTCCTGCAGAGACCCTGCCCAGGAGTTCTTCCTCTGCCCTTGCTCTGGAGCATCCATGCTGGGTTGCTGCTCCAAATACACAAAAGCAAAGACCCCAACAGGGATGCTGGAGCTCATATGTATGGCAAAAATTCCGGCTCATCTGAGGGAGCCCCAACCAACACCCACAGTAAAGGAGCACCCACTGAAATGCAGAACATTGTAGGGTTGACGGGCAAGCGGCTGGCAGGCCCCTCCCCAGCCCCAACTCCACCTGCAGCCAGGCCTGGTGCGGTCTCTGTGTGGAGCTCCCTTCCCAGGCTGCTGCCCTCTTACCTGGCAAGAGGCAGGAGGGGTTTGGTCAGTGGGCATTACCATCTGGGCCAGCTGTGCCTTCGGTTTTTCTGAACAGGGCTTGCTGCGGGCTCCTGTGGACAAGATGGGGCCAGGACAAGGGGGGCTGTGATACTGTCCCCCAATCCACACAGCATCATTTGGTTGACCAGCTACATTCAGGGTGTCAGGTGTTAAACAGTGGACATGTCATGGGCCCAACCAGCTCTGGCCCAGGTGGAATTGCCCACATCCTCCCACCTTGCCTTGCATCCTTATAGGCTGGCAGAAACCAAGTTGTCCTCCAGCTCATGAGTGTGTGCATGTGGAAGTTGTGTGCGTGTCGGGAAGGTGGGGATACACCTGTACTGCTCCCAGTATTCCTAGGGCTTCCCCTGTCACATGACAGTGTGGGACCTTCCAGGGCCACACTGTCAGTGAGGCAGAGGCTGCCCTTCTGGGGTGCCAGGAGAAGGGGACTCCCCTGCTGGACCAATGTGGGGGTTGGTGATGAGTTTTCCAGCAGGCCTCTGGAGGCCCTCATGGTATAAACATGCTATGCTGCTCTTCACTCCTATTCAGAACTGGTCCCTTTTCCTCTGCCTGCATGAACAGTGTGCCCTGGCGGCTCTCGCAACCTGGGGGCCCAGCTGTTCCCTTTCCAGCAGGGATTCCAGAGCCCAAGGACAGAGCAAGGCTCTCTGGAGGCAGTCCCAGCTGCTCAAGTACTGGGGAAGGACTGACCCAGGGCCCTGAGAGGGTGGCCACAGGCTCCTCGTCCCATCACAGGTGTCTCCATCTCCGCTGGGAACTCTCTTTCGTAGTGCATGCTGAAATGAAAGGGAGGCTGGGTAAGGCAGAGCAGGTGGCCGATTTCCTGTTGATCCCACTCTCTGGGGCCACAAACACACCTTTCCTCTGGGGTCTGCAGCCATCAGAATGCGGTGACCCAGGATGTACTATCACTCACCACCTCAGCCCTAGCACAGCCCTTAACATCTGCCCATCCCTCTGCGGCACCTGACACCATGGCAACCCGTAGCCACCGTGCCTTTCAAGGGGGGTTCCTCTGACCTTGGGGAGATCTGGCTGCGGGTTGGGGAGCTGTTTGCTTGGCTTTTCCCAGTGCTGCCCATCCCTGAGGCCTGGAACATAGCCTTTCCAGCTCTCTCACCAGTCAGCCTCCCGTCCACAACCAGTTCTGCCTCTGAGCCAGCTACTCGGCTGCAGCTGTGACTGCAGGAGGCTCTTGTCCCCAGTCTGACTTGAACTTGAGATGGGGACAGCCCAGCAGCATGGCGTTTTTCAATTCTGAATCTCACAACTGCACTGGTTTTGGGAGCTGCTGAAGGCCAACACTGACGAGAGCCTGCCACCTGTTGGCTAAAACAGTCTCTGCAGCTTTGGTGCAAGATGGAACCCAAAGGGCCACAAAGGTGTACAAAAGACATCTGGCCAATTTGGGAGATGTTCATTCTAAGTCAGCTTGAAACCCCCTAAATAGGTCCTCCCAATGTTATCCCAGTAGCCCTACACTCAGGGTCAGAAGTTATACCACTACCTGGAAAACGTCTGGCTGTTGCTATGATTGCTGTTGCCATGAGCAACGTTGGAGTTGGCATTGTTGACGTTAGCACGAGCCAGAGGGTTAGTGCTTGGGTCTTGAGGGAAGTCCTCCAAGAAGACAGGCGACTCCAGCTCCTCCATTTCTATCTCAGAAAACTGGAGGGGTCTTTGGTTGGCCATGACGGGGGGCAGGGAGTTGGTCCTTTCCAGGAAGTTGTCCACCTGGCCAAACAGGCCTCCAGTCCTCTAGTGGCAAGTAGGAGAAGAACCATGGCGAGAAGTGGGAGTGAGAACTGGTGTGGAGGGGGCTGTTTCCTGGGGACAAGTCCAGTGAAGCCCGAGGAGGATGGATGGTACAGAGAAATCAGAGGAGGAAAAACCTAACACGCAGAAACTTCTTGATTTGCTTTCTAAAACTTGTGATAGACTTACAGGATCATACAGGGGGTCTGGCCACACAGACATGGGAAAGGGATGGGCGGGGCAAGCCCTCAACTGGGAATGTGTAGAGCTGGTCCAGGGCTCCCTGCTGAGCCTGTATGGGGCATCCCACATCATCTCTGGGCCCCCACCTCCTCACACACCTAGAAAGGCTTATGGGAACCATCCAAAGTGTTCCAAGAAACACTAGACAGGGAGAGGGAGTGGAGACCACACAGCTGGAGGCAGGTGGGGCCATGAGGGTGGAGGGGCTCAGGCCTATGGACAGTGGCCGGGGCTTTTGGGTAGAGGTGCGGGTGAGGTGGGAGGTGTTCCATGTCTGACCCTGGAGTTGGACTGCTGGGTCATGGACTGAGTCGTGAGAGAGGCAGGGACAGGATGTGCTGGGAGGCTTTCTGCAGAGTAGGCTCCTCTCCTCCAGGAATCTCTACCACTCACTGTGTCTAGGTGGCCAGGTGTGGCCCTGGACTTCACTCACCCGAAAGATCCCCTCCTCCATGGCAGCCTCCACCATGGCTCTCTCCAGCTCCTCCTCGGCGGTCAGGTCCCCTGAGATGGTCCGGTGGATCTCCGGGGCTGCCTCTTCCTCAATGGTCCTCAGCCCGGCCTGCGAGGTGGGGGCAAAGTCTAGAGGAGATGACCAGACCCACACCCTACCCCATTTCTCATTCTCCGATTCTCATCGCATCACTCAGACCCCATGCCTACTTGGGGCTCCTCCAATGTCCTGTGTAGCTCCTGGGTCCTGCTCTGCCCTCTGGGACAGCTCACACCCTAACTGGGTCTGAGGATTGTTCTCATGGTGGGGTGACAGCAGAGGGCCAGATTGAGCCATCCCTTCTTTTCCTTGCTCCTCTGGCATCCTTGTTACTCTCTGTGCCAGCATTCCTGGACCCTCCAAGACACAGCTGGTGAGCTGGAGGCTGAAACCTGGCTGGGCCCAGGGCCCCTCAGGGCTTCCCTGCGTTGACTCACCTGGATCTGCACTGTGTCCTTCTTGGGCCGATAGCCATAGTACTCCTCCTGGCGCTTCATGAACTTGCGGAAGTGCTCCTGGATGAGGAAGGTGGCATAGAACTTCCCCACCGTCACCTCGTCATCTGCAGGGGAGTCAATGAGAGTAGTCCTGAAGCCCAACAGGAATCTGGCACTGGATTCAGAGCGTGGCCGGGGCTAGGCCCCTTGGCAATCCTTGGACTGCTGATCAGATCATGGGGCACCTCACACCCTGAGACTGCTGGGGTGCTTGCTAGATGCCCACCTGGCCTACCTAAGGCATTTACAGAAGGCTGAGGCTGTTCCCAGGCAGCTACTCATCCCCTTCTCTCCACGGGTTCTGGACCCTGGCCTCCCAAAGCAGCACCTGCCTCCTATGGGTGGGATGACCTGGTCCAGGAGCTTCATGCTGGTTCTCTTCCAGATCTTCTTGATGATGGCCCTCAGCTCCTCGTTGGCCTGCTCAAAGTTCCCTGGGGCAGAGGAGAGGCAAGGATGGCCTGAGTCATCAGGCCAGGCCACAAGCCCTGGACAAGGTTACCCAGCACGATCTGAACTGCTCTGGGAACTAGGCATATACTCCACATGCATGGCCCGAGTTTCCTTTAGCAGCAGCGGCAGAGCTGGGCACCAGAGACAGGGTGCCAGCTTCCCCATCCTTGTGAGGTAGCTCAGTCCTCAGGCTACCTGCTTCTGCTCCATGCACTTACCCAGAATGGCTGACTTTGGGGTCCATCACCTCCTCCTCCTTTCTTCCCCCAAACCTTTGACTCCTCCTGTGCTATGGTCTGTACCCAGCACCTTTGGGTAGGCCTCTTGCTGTGCCCTAACCCCATCTTCCTCTCCTTTTCTTTCTAATGATGGTCCCAAGTCCTACTCTGAGACCCAGCTTACCCTGACTCCTCTCTCACTCCCGCCGTGACTGTATCTTCCTAGCTACAGGACCTGCAAGCTCATTGTCTATGCTCCAACCTGCCCAGTACCCCTTAAGCCCTCTGCTCCTGCCCAGAGCTGCCCTCAGGGTGCCACACCCCTCCCTGAGCACAGACACAGTGGGGAGAGTCGGGGAACACATCTCCTGCCCAGCAGAGAATTCTCCAGCTTTCTCTGAGCCCCAAGATGCATGAAAACCTTGTGGCATGGCCTGGGGTCCTCTGGCAGAGTCGCAGCCAGGAAGCATGCCTGGGAGGAAGTTCCCCCCTGCTCACCCACCTCCAGCCACTGGCAGGCCCTCACCTTCTGTTTTGATCTTGAGCGCTGTGCGCACCAGGGCAAAGAGCGTGGCATTGAAGGTGACGGTGCCATCACTGTTCAAGGGCATGTTCATGCCCACCAGGCGCTGTAGGGGGTCAGGGAGTAGGGACAGGGGTTTGCTGCTAGTCTGCCACCTGGTCTGGATGGGTGGGACGTGAGGGCAGATGGGCAGGCTGACCAGGGGACATCTCCATGAGGGGCTGGTGTGGTGAGACTGAGTCCTTAGGGAGGGACTTGGGCCCCCGTGACACTGGCTCCTCTTGCTCCCCCAGAACCAGCAACTCGGTTACCTTACAGGCCACACGGTGGGGACAGAACTTCCCGAAGCCCAGAGGGGGCTGGATCCTCCTCAGCAGTGTTACCACGTCCAGGTGCTTGATTCGCCCCCTGTGGGAGGACATGGAGACTGGTGTCCCACGCAGTGCCACCCAGCCCGCAGCCTTGCAGAGCTGGGAGATGCAAAGTCATGGGTCCTTGCTGTGCAGCTGTTTGGGGGATCCCCTCCCTTTGCATGGGCTCATGGTGGTCCCCACTACATGAAATGGCATCCCTTCCAATGCGGGTCCACAGGTCTGGAAGCTGGACTCTGTTCTCCCCAGGGCTGTTCCTCCCTTGGATTCAGTCCCCTGTGGCAGGGGGCTGCAGGGCTGTGCTAACAGAAGTTCAGGGCAGGGGGTCAAAAGAGGTGGAGACCTCATTGCAGAGCTGGCCCAGAGCCAGAAACCACAGTGCTTCAAGCAGAGCAGCCGGCAAGGTCAGAGGAAGCTGTGGGAGGCATGGGAGCACTTCCTTTTTCCTCTGATGAGCTGCTGGGAGACAGGGAGCATTTCCTGTCTGGCCCCGGAACACTGGATAAGGACTGGCAGAAAGCCGAGTGGGGCAGACAGGGAATGGACGCTCTGGCATAAACACTTTACAGCCTGGTTGCGCTGGGCAGATCAATGTTGGATCCCAACGTCCTTTCCGACCAGTCACACGGCCCAAGTCTCTCTGAGCCCCAGTTTTCATATCAGGGAGACTAAGAATGTCTGGGCTGGTTGCGAGGAATGAATGAGACAATACGTGTGGTGCTAAGCCTAGGGCCTGGTACCTGTCCTCTTTGGCTAGGGAGAAGTGCTTCCCAAGCTTTCATGTATATATACTGATGGCTTGGGGAGAGGTTTACTAGTGATGCAGTCTGGGTAAGGCTTGGAACTCTACATTTTCTTCTAGCTCTTGTTGGTTGTTCTATGAGTGGCCAGGGCCTGCAGTGTCCAGTCAGATCCTGAGCTGCCCACTCCTAGGAGTGTCCCAGCAGAAGCTGGGTGCCATTTCCCAAAACGGAACTCCAGGCCTCTGGATGGGGACCTTGAACAGCAGCTTTCCATGGGACAGTGGGTTCATGGTTTGAGGAGGGTCCAGCATGGAACCTCTAGACAGGACTCACTTGGCCTCTGGGTCGTACTCTGCCCAGATGGCCTTGAACTCATCCAGGTGGTGAGGGCCCAGGATGGACCAGTCACGTGTGAGGTAGTCGAAGTTGTCCATGATGACAGCCACAAAGAGGTTGATGATCTATAGGAAGAGAACAAGAAGGGATGGGGTGGGGGCACTGCGAGATTGCCTGGGGCCACGGCTTCTCCAATGCCTGGGCAATGCAGGACCTGCATTCCATTGGCAGGCAGGGCTGTGCCCCTGGGGTTCACACACAGGCAGGATCCTCTGCCTGGGGACTGGTGCTCAGCTCAGCACCTCACTGGAAGTCACTCCTGCCTCAGCCTCCTGCCCTACCGCAGAAAGGGGCTCGCCCCTCCTCTGTGCCCTGTTTTTGCTCCTGTCTTTTCCTCAATATGAGGGATCCCCCCTGGATTGCCCATGTAAGTGCTCCCCGTGCTCCCCTTTCTCCCCACAAGTTCCCACAGGGGCAGGGCTGCGTTGCATTCCATCTCTACCCTCTGTATCCATCTCAGACCTTGGCACACCTCGGTCCAGGATTTTCAGGAAATATCAAAATCTGAAGGAATGAGGGTAGACTCAACACCTCCTCCTGCAAAGATGGCACCACTGGGCTCTCAGCAAGACTTGGGACTCAGTCGCTAACCCCACAAGGTTGTCTTCTGAGGCTCAGTCTCAGTCTCCTCGTAGAGGGAAGCTTTTTCCTCTGAGGACCAGCCAGGGGACACGGCTCCCTGGGAAGGCCTACCCAGGGCAGGACCTCACAAAATGCCTTTGATTGCTGTCCAGCATTGCTAATCAGATATGGAGACAGATGGGAAACTTTTCACAAAGCACAGCCATGCTCATGATGGCCAGAAGGCGGGACAATCTAGCCAGAGTCGCCTAGGTTCCTAAGACATGGCTAGCCAGGCAGGAGACAGCAAGCTCTTCCCCAGGTGCAAGTGCGCTGGCCTCTTACCAGGAAGGCGCAGAGCATGTAGAAGCTGATGAAATAGTAGTAGGCGAAGTTGGTGCCACACGTGTACTCCTCGCCCGGGGCATAGTCCGATTCGGGGTCACACAGCTTCCCGTAGCTGCAGGCCAGCAGGATCTCCTGCCACGCCTCCCCTGTGGCACACCTGCCAAACAAAAGCCCCAGTCACTCCAGGGCCAAGGCAGGATGTGGTCCATGAGAGGTCAGATGCCCAAATTCACTGTGTAGCTTCGGGAGGAGCAGGGCGCCCGTTCCACCCTCTGTTCCACCATCAAGGATACCACAAGTAGGAGCTGAGTTACAGCCCTGGGACTTGTTAGCTAGAATGGATATCCCTGTCCTGACCATGGCAAGGCAAGGCTGGGGGCCACCAAGGACCCCCTGCTCTCTTGGGAGGGACCTTTAACCTCTGTCTCCTGTGGCAGGGGGACAGGCTGGAGGAGTAAGTGGCATCCCGCTGAACAGAGGGACCCGGAGCAGAGTGAAGCAGTGGGGACAGCTTTTGGGAGGTGACAGCTGGCCAGAGGCTGAACGGGGGCTCTCGGAGTACGGCCCTGTCTAGCCTGGGCTGTGGGACCTGCCTGAAGAGCAGCAGCACAGCCTGCGGGAAGGTTTGGAAGTTGTTGTTGCGGTTGATCTGGGTCCCATCCACCATGGCGATCTTCCCGAACATCTACAAGACACAAAGTACCCAGCTTCGGGACCTGGACCTCATTGGCCCCTACACTCCCCTCCTGTTGTCCCTCACCTTCAGCCCCCACTCTTCCCAGACCCCCTTCCCTCAGGCTATGCCAGCCCCAAAGTCAACCATATTGAATTCTTTCTAGGCTGGGTCAAATTTTCTAGTCTGTGTCCAGACAGCAGATCCAAGTGCCCAGCAGCAAGCCGGCCAAGGTGTCCAGGGGTAGGGGAAGGGCCTTCAGATGAGGGTGCCCCGGGCCACCCAGGCCTTTGACTGGGGTCTTAGAGACACCACCTGGCCCCTTCTTGACTGTCTGCATGCCCAGGTTTCTCCTGGAAGCCCTCCAGGTTTCTCATGCAGCAGGCATCTGAGAAGCCGGCATGCAGCTCACCTCGTGGCTGCCCAAGGCTGGAGGCAGGGCCAGGCCCAGACTGATTAGCTCACAGATACCCCCCTCTAGCATGGCCATGGCACAACCTTCCCCTAGGCCCCTCTGCCTCTCACCTGCATGCCAATGACAGCATAGATGAAGAAGAGCATGACAATGAGAAGAGCCACGTAGGGCAGGGCCTGCAGGATAGGCAGGGGCGTCAGCGCCATGGCTCCACTTGTCTGCCCCATACCCCTGCCCTTTTGCAGCTCCCCAGAGCCCTCCCCACCACCTAGGTCCCCAGGGATCCATGCTGAGGAGGGAAGAGAAGGAGGAAGGGGTAGGAGGATGGTCCTAGTGGCCTGTCCCTGCAGGGCCCGCCCCGCCCGTGGCACCTGGAAGGACTTGATGAACGTCCATAGTAGGGTGCGCACACCCTCCGCTCGGCTCAGCAGCTTGATCAGCCTCATGACTCGGAACAGGCGGAAAAAGGCACTGGAGATGCGGGCACTCTCGTCTGGGTCCTGTGGGGCGGCAGCCCCAGAGGTCAGTCTGGGAGATGTTCCTTGGGATGGGGGTGGGGTGGGAGAGGGGGCTGGGAGGGCAGAGGTGCTGTGTGCATGGGGCAGGTGGGGAGGGTGGCATGTCAGTGGGTGGGAGGAGCCCCAGCCCTGTCGGCATGGCCCCTGTCCTCCACCAGCTCTGGGCTGACATCAGGGTTGGTGCTCAGAGTAGAGGCAGGTGAGCTGGGAGCTGGGGCACCAAGCCGTGCGCTGAGCCCATGCTTGGGGCAGCAGCAGGGAGTGTGCCTGGGCATGGCTACCGCCAGACTTCCTGGAACCTCCTGCTCTCCTCACCTGTTCTTCCAGCTGCTGCTGAGCTGAGGAACCTGGGGTCCCTTGCCTAGTGCCCTCCCAGTGCAAAAAGTCCCAAAACTTGGTGGCTCTGTCACCATCAACTCAACATGGCCTTTCCCTCCACCCCCAACACCGTAACCGTACCCTCAGCCGGACCAGTCTCTGTCCTGTGGCGGCTCAGACACAAGCATGGCACTGGAAAGGACAGCCCTGCCCACCCTGTTTCTAATGCCCCCAAGGGCCTCATGCCCAATGAACTGGCCCTTGAGTCCAGCACCTACAACCATAGTCCTCCTGTACATTCCTGTTTGTGGAGAGGCCTGTCCTTCCGGAGGCTTGAGGAAGCCGCTACACCCATGCATGTTTGGTTGCAGCACCCCCAGCCACCCTAAGCCCGGCTCCTCAGGCAGCCAGCTCTAGGGAAGGAAGCCCTGAGTGCCTTTGCACCCCATGCAGTGGCACGGCCAGGTGGCAGCATGCTGCAGTGGCGGGGTGGGGGGGTGGCGGGCGTGCTGGAGCCTCATGCAGCCCAGAATTACAACGTTCCCGCAGCCGCCACCCAGGCAATACAGTCCCCCGCTGGAGGCCAGGAAAGTCTGTGGAGAAAAGAGACGAGGGGAGGGAAGGGGAGGGTAGAGAGGAGGAGGGACACGAGGGGGGGAGTGAAGAGAAGCGTCAGAAAGGACAGTCACAGACGAGTTAGAGAGAGAAAAAGAGAGAGAGGCAGGGGCCACGGCCCCACATGGTTGCAGTCAGGGGCGGGATGGGTGGGAGTGAGGACAAAGCTCTGTGGGGCAGTGAGGCGGGAGGCTGGGGCAAGGGAGCAACAAGGTGGGTAGGGGGACTGGACATAGATGGGACCCGCTCAGCTCTGTACGCATGTGCAGGGGACAGGACCTGAACCTTGCTCTGTCTGGATCATATGATGCTGGGGTATGTTGGCAAACACCTGCTTGTCGCTGCAGGTGGACTCAGGCCACCCCCTCACCTAGATGTCAGGTCGAGACCCTTAGGGAAGTGCCCCCTTCCAGACACAGAGCTCCCCTGGGGACACTGACATCTCAACAGCAGAGGTCATTGTGCCCATCCCAGGGACTGGCTCTTGAAGAGCAGGTGGTTGAGTGTATGGGAGCCCCCAGTTCTCCCTGGGGCTCCATTTCATGAGGAGCCCTCATTTCAAAGCCCCCAGGCGAAGTCACTGCCCTGTCCTGCAGTTATCTGAGTGATCTGCAGGTAGCTGGTCTGCCTCGGGCGGCTGTTTCCCAGACCACTGGCTTCCAGTCCTGCGTGTGTGCAGATCACGTGCAGAACTTTAAGACATACATGTCTTTTTACATCTCCACGCAGGCCAGTTAGGTCAGTGTCCGGGTGACAGGGCCTGGCTTCAGGGGTTTACGTGCTCCTTGGGTGACTGTCACACGCACCGGGAGGACAATGCAGTGACTCAGATCTATGCTGTCCACATGTTGGCTGCTGGCCACACACCAGCCACAGTTCCAGAGACCATGAGACACATCTGGGTAGAGATTACCATATTGGATTCTATCATTCCAGAAAATTCTGACAGACATGCTGCCCTAGGCTATTCCCTGGTTTATGCATCAGTAATAAAAATCCATCTTAACAGAACTCCAAGCAAACGTTACTGGTAAGGTTCATCTGCTGGTCCTGAAAACAGAACAGCAGCTAATGATACCTCTTGTCTGTCACCACCAAGAAACTGCTGTCGTTTAGCCGTGCCACCCCTGCACAGACCTCAGGCAGCAAGAAGCAGCTATGCCTGCCGTGGGCTCCTCGCTCTGACAGAGTTTTCTGACCATGCTATGGAAAGTGCTGCCCTCAGAGCATGGGGCCCTGTGGGGTACTGTTTGCCCAACAACACCTGAGCATGGGTGGAAATATATCACACACACACACACGCACATACAGACACCCACCCACACACATGTATGCACACATACAGACATACAAGACATATGTGCACACAGATACACATAAGACACACATTCTCATACACACACAGAGGCACACAGACATTACATACAGAGAGACACAGAATACACTTATGAACATATGGTCACACAAGTAATAATATAACACACAAATACATGTATGTGACACAGGCACACAATTACACATGCACATATATAAACACAGGCACACACATGTGCCCACACAAACACAGCCATACAACAAACACAGAGATACACACACATTTATACACACATACACACACACACATGTTTACTCATTGTGTTTTGCGGTCCCTGAACACACAGAGCTGTCTGTCATCACTGTGTATTCTGTACAGGGGGCGTGGTGGGGAGGAAGGGTCAAAGGTCTCCAGGCCCCCACCCCGAAACACAGCGGCCCACTGCCCTGGCTACCAGGTCCCCAGGAGGGGCCGTTTGCCAGAGAGCAGCCCGTGGGAGCCTCAGTCGAGGGCTGATCCCCTCCCCCGACTCCTGTCCCCAGACATCTCCGGGGTTGGTCTGTCCTCCTGCCCCTACCCCCGCCACCCCCATCACCCCATGAGCTGGTGCAGCCTAATGTACTCTTGGAGCAGCAAGAGGCTGCCCTGTGTACGGATGAGCCTCTCCAGCTCAGGGGCTGGTTGCCCACTGGGGTCTCCGAGACCGGGTCAGATAGCTTTGTGTAGAGACCCTCCATGACCATGGCTAGGGAATGCCCTTCTCCCACCGCTGCCACCCTCTCTCCTGTGCCACCATCCTTCTGGACTGAGGACACTGCACATGCTGGGAGGGAAACAATTGTGAGATCTCAGCCTCTGGATCTTGGACCTACTGCCTCACCCCTCCTCCAGCTGTAGCTCCCTCAGCTCAGACCCTCAGCCTGGACCTTCCCCCTCCCTTGCACTCCCAACTCAGACCCTGTGATGTGTGCCTCGCTACCTGAGCCATACCCCACCCCTCCACTCCCACACTGAGCCTGTTGGTCCAGCTCCTGCCAGTGCAGCCTTCAGAAGGGACATGAGACTCCTCCCACTGTTTCCACAGCTGCCTCCTGTCTACCACCATTGTCCCCCACCTGGCTTCCTGCCCAGGGGCCAGCTCTCATGCTCCCTTTAGCATGTACTCCTCACAGCAGCCAGGGCAGTCCCTTTAGAACTTCAACCTATGGGCCCAGCAAGGTTGCCTAGTGGCTAAAGTCCTCGCCTTGCATACACTGGGATCCCAGATGGATGCCGGTTCTTATCCCAGCTACACTATTTCCCTTCCGGTTCCTACTTGTGGCCTGGGAAAGCAGCAGAGGATGACCCAAAGCCTTGGGACCCTGTGCCCATATGGGAGATCCAGAAGAAGCTCCTGGCTTTGGATCAGCTTTGGACTGTGGCCTTAGAGGGCCTTCTCTTACCAGCCCCACTGTCCACTGCTTCCTGCCACCATTGCTAGGGTCACCTGCTAGTCCCGCCCCAGGGCCTTGTCACAGTCTCCACACCCCGATAGCACTCTTCCCGTGTGGCTCCCTCCCTGGCTTCATTCAGGCCTCTGCTCCATTGTCTCCCCGCCTCCCTTCCACTCTGAGGCCTCCACTACATGTTTTTGTTACATCTGGCATGGTTGGGGTTCCCCACAGCTCATTACTGAGTCTCTGGCAATAAGGACCAACCTCGGAACCAGATCTCTATTTTCACTGTCTCATTTCTAGGTTAACTTGTTAGAAGCAGCCCTAATCGGGTCCTGCATGGTAGCCTAGGGGCTAAAGTCCTTGCCTTGCATGCGCCGGGATCCCATATAGGTGCCAGTTTATATTCTGGCTGCTCCACTTCCCATTTGGCTCCCTGCCTTTGGTCTGGAAGAGCACTGGGGGATGGCTCAAGGCCTTGGGACCCTGCACCTGCATTGGAGACCTGGAAGACGCTCTCAGCTTTGGCCATTGTGGTCACTTAGGGAGTGAACCAGCAGAGGGAAGAGCTTTCTCTCTGTAAATCTGCCTTTCCAATAAAATAATAATAATAATAATAATAATAATAATAATAATAATAATAATAAAGCACTAATCTTTCTCATCCCTAGTCTAAAGCCTTCAGGGACTTCTGGCTGAAGGCAGACAGCACCACCTCCACCCTTCTGGCTACTTGCCCACTGCCACCATGACCCCTATGGGGCAGCCAAGTCCTCTCTGCTCCTCAGGACAGTGGCTTTCTGAGAGCAGGAGGGCTGAGCTGGCTGGCCATCTCCCTCTCTGCGTACCCCCAGGGTTTCTGTTGCACACCAGGGGTGTCCTCAGGGATATATGGACTGAACAAGTGCCTGCTGCCCAGCCCGCAGAGGCCTTCCACCTGCCACTCACGTCGATCTCACTGAGGATGACATCGATGATGCTGCCAATGACAATGAGGAAATCGAACACGTTCCAGGGGTCTCCGAAGTAGCCCTGGGAGGAAAAGACAGCAGAGCCAGGGCTAGCTTGCTAAAGCCAGTGGGTGACGGGTAGAGGTAGAGCAGATCTGCCAGGCCAGGCAGGCATGGGGCAGGGGTGCCCACGGCTGCGATTCCCCCATGCTGTCTTGACCCCGCCTCAGCACCTTTTCCCTTTGGGCTTCTGAGTTCTTTCCTCTTGAGCATCGTGTGGCAGGATACCAGGGCATGGCAGTTCCATCTATGCCCCACGCTCACTTGAGGTCCTACCCAGGGACTGACCACATAGAACTGAGGGGTAGGAAGTGCGTGGACTTGCAAGCAGGGCAAGATGCTTTCCCCAGCCCTGAGTCTATTTTTCACAAGATACAAGGAAGGTGGAGAATGGGTGCAAAGAAGGGAAGATGGGGAGGAGGCCCCTGGTACCTGCCCTGCCTCTGCAGGTGGAAATCGCGGGCCAGCTGGCAGCAGAGCAGCTGCAGGGAGAGTGGTTTATGGGAGATCCCCTCCAGCCCCTGCCAGGCCATGGTTGCCCCTGTGGCCTGCAGTCCCAGCACTCACCCTGGCCTTGAATGCCATGAGCTTGAGTACCATCTCCAGGGTGAAGATGATGGTAAAGGCCACGTTGAGGATGTCTGAGATGTGGTTCATCTCTTCCGACTGGTTGTAGTGCTGCGGTGGTGGCAGATATGGGAAGGGAGGGCTTGTCCACCTGCAGCTGGCATTGCCAGACCCCCTCCTCTCCCTGGGTGAGTCCAGTCTTTCCAGAAAAGCAGGAGGCTGCTTTGCAATCCCCTGCCGGCCACCAAATCTTCTGATACCCCAGTTTCCCAGCAGCACAACAAAGTGGTGAAGAGAGGAGGGGATGAGTGCTTCCATTCTAAGCCCTGTTTGGGGGTGGTTAGTCCCACACAGGTTGCCAGGCCAGAGCTCACTGGCAGATCCGCTTTGGGATGCCTGTGACAGGGGATCTCCTGAAGGCAGGGACTGGAGGCTGTAAAAGCAATGACCTTGGCCTCCTGGGCCTGCCGCTGTGGCCCTCCTTAGGTCAGGCTCTGATATATTTTCCTGGGGAACTCTGACTATTTTGTCAGAAAGTCAATAGAATCTCATCTCTTCCATGTAGTTTGTGGGGTCTGGCGGTTGCCCCCCAACCTCACCTCCTATCATCCTGGTCCCGGTTGGATGCCCCTGGTCTACTGCCTGACTCAGCCTGTAGATAAGCCACCATCTTGTACCACCCTGGCCTGCTGCCCTCTTGTCTCCTCCTATCTCTTCGCCACCTGGACAGTGGGTGTGACTCCTTGGGACATGGCAGGTGGCCTGTGCAAGTCCTTTTCTACGGGCTTCAGGGCTCCAATACTTAATGAAGCTTGCTAGTGATGCCACTCACAAAACTATTGTCTACAAAGGATGCACAGCTCTTCTGAAATGCACCTGTTCTGTAAATATTAAGCCCCCTTTTTGATGGGGGGTGTAGAGGGACAAAACCAAGGTCCCACTCATTCAGTTATCCAGCTGTGTGCCAGCAGATGACAGGCAGACAGCAGGAGCATCTCCTGTTTGCAGAATCCAATTGCTCCTGTGGCTTGAGCTGCCTCCTTACGAATTCCGGAGTGCCCAGTGCATAGTGGGCATCCCGGGGATGTCTACCTGGGAGGCCCAGGGAGCGCACTTGGCTCCTAAACACCTTACCTGCATGCCCAGGCAGATGGTGTTGAGCATGATGAGGGCAAACATCAGGTATTCAAAGTAGGAGGAGGTGACAATGTACCACACCTGGTACTGGTATGGGTTTTTGGGGATGTAGCATCTCAGTGGGCGGGCCTTCAGAGCATACTGCACACACTGGCGCTGGGGGCAACATAACAGGGCAGGTCAGCACTGAGGGGGCCCCTTACTCCCACCCCATGCCCGCAGCCACTGCATGCTGGGAGCAGCTGTGGTCAGCAGCTTGTGGATAGGGCACTCTGTGAAATATTTAGGGGAAAAAATTGCACTGGGCCACAGATGCTCCTGGAGTAATCCCTGCCCATCCGTTGGCCTCAGCCAGTAACACCGAATGACCTCTTTTCTATGGACATCATGAGGATTCTGTGAGAAGAGACCACCGCACCCTCAATTTGTCACTTCTGGTTGGAGACAGGGTGAAGGACACGGTGTGAGGGCTGGGGCTGGGCTTGTTTCCCAAGGGAGCCTGGGACCCAAGACTGGTAGAGGTCAATTAGGGCTCTGCTCCCATCCCCCAGCCCCAGCAGGTGGCCCAAGCACCTGGTTCTTGTCCAGCTCACAGTTCTTGTACTCCGTCTCCCCCTGCTCCTGGAAGGTGACGATGACAAAACCCACAAAGATGTTCATCATGAAAAAGGCGATGAGGATGATGTAGATGATGAAGAAAATGGCCATTTCCACTCGGTTGTTGTAAACAGGGCCCATGTCCTCCTGGTTGGAGTCTATGGCCTTGTACAGTAGCCTGAATAGGCAGAGAAGAGAGGCTGCTGGGCTGGGGTATGAAGCAGAGACCCAGGCAGAGACAGGCGGGAGCCAAGGGAGCTTTCTAAGTGCTCAGGTGATAGGAGAGAGGTTGGGATTGGTCCAGCAAAGGCTCAGTTTCCATGGGGTGCCCTGCCCATCTCTGCCCAGTCAGTGGGTTCCCTGTAGGCAGAGGGGCACATGCGTGTGGGGGACCCATGGAGTTCTTGGTCAGGTTCCCCTTGGCATGAGCAGGGAAACAGCTGTCCTACACAGCATGAGTGAGCTGGTGGCCTCTGCAGATTGCCTGGCTTGCTGCATCCCTGGCACAGCCCTGAGCATGCACACTAGCCCCAGGCCCCAGCTTGCACTCACTGAGGCCAACCCTCGAAGGTGGAGACTGTAAAGAGTGACATCATAGCAGAGAGGACGTTGTCAAAGTGAAAGTCGTTGTGTGTCCACTGGCGGGCGCGCAGCTCTATCTGCGTGGGGTCCCCATCTTTGTACACGTAGTAGTAGCCCCTGACGAGGGGTGGACAGTCACGGCATTGCCTCTGCCCACTGCCCACCCACCATTTCTGGTCCTCGGAGCAGAAGGGTGCACAGGAAGTAAGGGTCCAGGTTGGGAATGAGAAGGGACTCCTGGATGCTCCCTCCCCTTGGTGAACCAAGGAAAGGGGCTTCTGTGAACACCCCAGGATGGGACCCCTCCCTGACATGAGGTCCCTGCTGGTGTCCCCTCCCATTGTACACTGGGCTGGCAGAGCCTGCGCACCTGCACTCCTCTTCCGTCATTTTGGATAAGTCGTTGCAGCTGAAGAACTTGCCCTGCACCAGGAGGGGGAGAGGGAGAGTGGCTGTTTCGGGCAGGGGATGGCCAAGGAGGCCCAGGGCCGGGGCAGCTGCCTGGAAGGAGAAGCCTGACTCTTCCTCTGCTGTGGGCAAGGGCCTGAGCGCTCTTGCCCCTTCACCACCATCCACTGCCATGGCTCCTTCACAGATTTCCCAGCCCGCCTAGCTGGTACCACAGCTGAGAATCCAGGACCTTTGGCGGTCATCTGCTGAGTGCCCTGCTGAGATGGGATCAGGGTGGGGATACTTTGACACCCTGCTCCTCCTTACTGCCCTTGCTGCTGCAGGGTCTGCTCTCATGTCATTACATACAGAGCAAGAGAAGAAGCTGCCGCCTTCCACCTTCCTTCCCCTGCTGGCTGCTGTGAAAACGAGAGCCGCAGAGACGGAGCCAGCAGGCCCTCCGAGCGCTCAGCCCCAGCTGGCCCACCCCACAGCCTCAGCAAGTAGGATCTGTTCTATCTATACTGACTTCAGCCAAATCAGTTCTCCTCTCACCTATGCCATCTATTGGGCACCTGCAAGGGATTTTGCTTGAATCAAAGAAGTTCACTGCTCGATCCTGATGTGACCAGGCTGAGCATAGAGTACATGGCTTCTGGTCCAGCTCCTTCCAAGGCCCGGAGACAGAACTGTCACTATGGCATTGTCTGAGAGCACAGCTGCCCTTTGCCCTGCAACTTGTGGTGCTGTCTGCACCATGCCCCTCCTTATGGGCATTGGAGCAGGGGGCAGAGATGGAGCACGTGGCCCAGGGGGGAGCAGGGAATGGACACAATGGCCTCTGGGCCCTTAAAATCAGACACCCGATTTCAGATGGAAAACAGAGCTGGGTCGTTTGGCAACATGTAGAGGGCACAGCACACATTCCCAGAGTAAGGTGCTGTGTGAAGTGCCCCCTGCTGGCCGAGGCCTTCCTGTTAGTTGGCTAACCAGCACCTGGGGTCTTTGAATGAGAAACCGTAGGTCGGCAGGAAGGCAGACTTAAGGAATCCTGAAGGGTCCTGGTCACCCATCCTGGTGGCTTCTCATTCTCTGGTTTAGGAGGGGTGGCTTCCTCTGGGCCTGGCCCAGGGCTGTGCACCAGGCCAGAGGAGGTTTATGCCCTCAGAGTTCTGGGACTCAAAGCCCAAGGACAATGGAGGGCAGGGGGCAAAGGACAGGGGGGGCTGGGAGAAGAGGACTGGGTGCAGCCGCTTAGTCCAGACACTAAGCACTCCTACCCCTCCCAGACAGGACCAGTGGCACAGGCCCCTCTGAAGGTGCCTGGGATCACCTTAGGAAAGGCCTTGTTGAGTCTGTGACCCCTTAGTCCCAACAGGGGTCTCCGCACATGCACAGAGAAAATGCTCCAGTCTCAAGTGCTGTTGAGTGAACAGGTGTTTGTATGGAGGTGTCACTGCACGTCTGAGATGCAGTGACTTTTGCAGATCATGCTTTGGGGTTGTGACAGGGACCACCAAGGTGCCAATCTGTGTCCAGTAGATAATGTGACAGCACAAGGCACCTGGAATCAGAGCTTTGGGAGGATACCCTAGAGGGCTGATCTTCAGAAAGCAACCTCATAGTCATGCCCTCCTTGGGGAGCAGGCACAGAGACCATGCCAATGGGAGCCCAGGCGGCAGGCACCCATGGCAGAGCCAGGGGCTGGTCAGGTACTTGTGGCTGAGGTGGTGAGAGGCAGGGGTGGCTTCAGGGCCTGTGGGACAGAGGGACCACCATGGTAGTGGCAGTCAGTGCCACCATCAACGCCAGCCTGATCTTGACTTGTGCCATCCTAGCCTTGAGATCATGAAGTTGGGGACCACTGTCTTCACAACCTGAGGATTCCCCTGTTTGCAGGGGGTTCCTGCAGAGGCCTGAGAGCCAGCCTCAGGCCTGTGGAGGTGTTAGCGGCTGAGGCCAGGAGTGGGAAGAGGGCTTACCTTGAAGAGCTGGACACCGATGCAGGCAAACATGAACTGTAGGAGGGTGGTGACCAGGACAATGTTCCCGATGGTGCGGATGGCCACGAACACACACTGTACCACGTGCTGGGGACAGAGGGCCCGTGGGGGGCGGGGTCTGCACCAGCCACAACCCCGCTAGCCCAGCCCAGAGAACTCCCCCAGGGTGAGACTTGCAGTCTCCAGGCCAACAGGAGGCAGGAGGAAGCCTGGTTGCTGACCACACCCCTTTACTCCCTTAGCCTAGGGGATGGACATGTGCCCTGGCCAAGGCAGGCTCTGGTTTCTAGGGTCTGAATCTTGCAGCCCCTTCGGCCAGCCCCAGGGATCCCACTTCTGCTTACCTTCAACCCCTTGGCTCTGTTGATGGCTCGGAGGGGGCGGAGCACCCTTAGCACCCTCAGGATCTTCACTACAGATATGGCGCTAGACCTGTGACAAGGTGCCGAGGGACACGGGCTAGGGCAGCCTCCAGCCACTTCCTGCCCTAGCTCTCTGCACAGCTGCCCTTCCATCTGCAAGCACTCCCTCCCCTGTCTCCCACCACCCCAGGGGAAAGCGCCCCCTGTGGGCCATGCAGCAGAATGCTTTCTCTATGTGTTGCAACAGCCTCTGTCTGAAGGCAGGGGTCACACCAGTGGGTGACTGCCGCCTCCTTTTGGCATCCCCTTCTGGCCTCCAAGACACGCCTTGTCCCTGTCTGTGACCCTGAGAGGCTGGCTTCTAGGAGCATAGGTCCCACGAAAGTTGCACAAGATTCCTGTTCAGAGACCCCAGACAAGAGCATAGGGGAGGTGTCCATCTGGGGGCTGGTCCCTGCCCCTGCTCACTCAAGTCCCATGGAAATGAGGGACACGGCCACCACCAGCAGGTCCAGCATGTTGAAGTAGTTGCGGCAGAAGGATCCCTTGTGCAGGAAGGCCCCGAAGGTCGTCATCTGGGGGGAGACAGGCAGCATCCTGGGTGGGGAGGAGTGTGTAGGGGGGACCTGTCCCCTCCTCTTCTTGTTCATGAAGGCAAGCCCATCACTGTGTAATGACTTGGACCTCATGTCCCTTGAGAACAGGTAAGCAGTGATGTGCTGCCCAGGCATGACAGGGTACACTAGAGGCCAAAGCCCAGCAGGGGGATGGGGGCACAATGTCACACCTCCAGGAACTCCTAGGAACAAACACCACTGCCCTAGTCCACTGCTAAGCTAAAAGTGCCTTCTGTGGGACAGAGAAGGGCTGAAGGCTGATCAGGGTGGTGAACCCTGGGCTACTGTATTTCCTGTCTCCAGCCTGCCCTGCAGGAACCTGCTCACCTGCTCACCTGGCTCAGCAGTGGAAGCCCAGCCCCCAAGGGAGCTCAGCTTGGCTATGTTGGAGGAGGTTCCCTCCCCCTTCCTGACCCAGCAAGGCCCACATGCAGGATGCCTGTTCCACAGCCTTCACTCACCTTGAGGACAATCTCCACCGTGAAGACAGAAGTGAATGCAATGTCAAAATACCCAAGGATCTGGGGACGGAGCAGGAAGGGGAGTATCTCAGTGAGGTGAGCGGTACAAAATGATATCATCAGTACAACAACATTATCACCAGCACTAGCATCACCATCACCATCATCATTAACAAAAACAGGCAGCAAGAGTGCACTGGGCAGTATTGGCCATTCAGAACTTTAAAATCTTAGGAACTCAAATGCTGTAGGCATGGGGAGGACACAGTTGTAGTCTGGGCACCATGAGGTGCAGGGTGGTCGAGGTGGACAGACCACCATCACCTTGTTCCTTGTGGACTCGGCCCGGATGGGGTCCTCAGCAGCCAGCGCAGCACTGCTGAGCAGGATGAAGAGCAGGATGAAGTTGGTGAACCAGGTGGCATTGACAATGCGGTGACACAGGACACGGATCCTGGGGATGGGGCAACAGGGGAGCAGGGAGCTGCTGGAAGCCCCGGACTCACCAGAGTGGGTCCTATGGGGCCACTGGACCTGCTTCCTGCCTACTCTCCATGGGGTCAGTGCGAATATGGCCTTGGCTCTTCATGGTGCTTTGGCTGGACATGTAGAAGACCCCTCTTTTAGTCCCTGTAGCCTCATCCACCACCTTTCCCAGTGCCCTGCCAGCGTTCAGCACAGTTGATGTTTAGCCCTAGCATAGGCAGATGAGATCCAGGAAGACCAGCGTCTGTGTCTTTTAAAGGGGTGAAGTCACGGAGCTGAGAAAGACGACAGTGTCCCCAGCCCTCGTCTCCCTGCCCTCACTGAAGCTGCTCTCAGGAAGAAGGCAATCAACACGGTCCTGCTTAGGTGTGAGTTGGTGATCAGGATTAAAGCAGCCCTTCTTGGAGCTGGTACTGTGGTGTAGCAGATTAAGCCACCATCTGTGATACTGGCATCCCATATGGCTGCCGGTTTGTGTCCTGACTTCTCCACTTCCAATACAGCTCCCTCTCATGTGCTTGGGAAAGCAAAGATGGCCCAAGTGCTTGGGCACTTGGATCCATGTGGGACACCTGTAGGAGGTTTCTTGTTCCTGGCTTTCGCCTGGCCTGGCCTTGGCCAGTGTGGGCATTTGGGGAAATAAAACATCAGTGGATGGAGAATTTTTCTATCTCCTGTACTTCCCCAAGAGACCCTGGCAAGACCTTGAGCTAAAGGCGCACACTCCCCACAGTGGCCTATTGGCATGGAGAATCCAGAAATCTCTCTCAGGGAGCCTGTCAGTGTCCCCACAGCAGCCAAGGGGCCACCTACTTGTTTGTGGGACTGAAGATGAAGAAGGAGCTGGCTTCTGGAATGGGCACTGCCTTCTCTTTGAGCTGCAGCTCAGCCAGCGGACGTGGTCGGGGGCTCACTGGAATCTCGGGCTCATCTTCTTCATCATCCCCTGTGAGAAGAGGAAGGGAAGTTAGAGGTGCCCTCCCATACTTCACTGTGCCCCTGGCTTCCGCTTTCAGTGTCCTCCTGGTAGCCCAGGAAGCTGGCGGGCCCAGGTGGCATGAGCAGGGCCAGTCCTCGCACACCCACTCCCTGCCCTACCTTCCTCCGGCTTTATGGCCAGCAGGCTTGAGCCATTAGGAATTGCTGGGAGGCTCAGAAACTTCCAGTAGTGGAGTCAGGCTGAGAAACCTTATTGCTGTATCTTCTGGACCCCTACACACTGCCTTAAAACCTGAGGGGCTGGGGGTGGGGTGGGGAACCTGCTTGGGGAGCCCAAGGTCCTGGCTCTGCCTTTCCTTGCTGGGCACTTCTGCCCACCACCTCCACCACCACCTCCACCACCACTTTCCCATCCCCCTCACCTCTGACCTCCCCAGTCTGTGAAACTGACAAGGGGCAGGAGTTGTTGAGAAAAACCAACTTCGGGGTCCCTCCCTGGGCTAGGAATAATGACTGTGACAAAAACTGCCAGCCGGAAAAGAGCAGGTTTCCATCGCACTTCAGTCAGGCCCCAGGACCACAGCAGGCCCAAGAGATGAGGGCCTGGGCTAAAGGAGGGAGAGATGGACAAGGCACATGTGGTCACTGGCTCTTGGGCCTTAAGAGGGAGCCCAGAGCCCCAGGTCCTCTGTTCTGAGTGGTGGGCTCCAGGAGTATGCAGGGGGCACTGTGGACAGTCAAGGTCCCTCTGGGTTCTCAGCCAGCAGTCACCTCCTCTCTGCCCCTGCTGGATCCTGCACAAATGCCCAGGATTCTACTCTCTCCATCACAGCCACCTGTTGGGGCTCACACCCTCCACATCAGCCTCTTTTCCCGCCCTGCTAAGAATTCAAGACCCCACTCCCTTCCCTCAGGACAGGGGTCTGATTGTGACCCTCTGGTCCTGCCCAGGCAGCCATGGTCCTGGGGGAATAGGCCCTGCCTACTTCCTTCCTGCCCCTCCCACATGTACACCAGCCCCTCCCATGGGATAGGTGGCCACTGTCAGGCACAGTCACCCTGAATGAATTACTCTAAGCACAAGCATTCATCTCTGCTTACAAAAATGGACTCAGCTCATCCCATACCAGCCTCATGCTTCCCACACTTTGCACAATCCGTTGTCTCCTTCATTTCATTTCCTGAATGCCTTTCCTGTGCCACTTGGAAGGGGGAACTTAAAGTCATTGGATAATTGGCCACATTGCAGCCAATCAGGTGATTCCACAGACACAGAAACTTGTGCAGGGGTCTGAGGACCTGTAGCTGGCTAAGGAAGAACTCTTGGGCCTTGGCTGTCACAGGGGCCTCTGTGACAGGTGCATCTGGGGCTGTGTGCCCTGAGCATCCTCCCCTGGGCCAGGTGAGCAGTCTCTGCAATGACCACTGACTACCCAAGGCCCCAAGCTGTGGTCTTACCCATCCTCTGGCTCCTGCTCTGGTCTCTCTCTTTCCTGCAATGCTACTCACAGTCCCATTTAGCTCAGCTCAGCCCCACCAAACTCTAGAAGGTGACACAGCCTCCTCTAGGGCTGTACTGGACGACTATTAGACAAGACCCACAGGTTTCTGTGCTCCTTGAATTTCAAGTCCTTAGCACAGAAGCACACAGCTAGTGCTTAGTGAATCCTAGCAGGTGGACCCCTAGCAGGTGTTCTGTGAGGTGTGTAGGAGGAAGAGATGGGCTGGCGGAGGTTATCAGCAAGGCTGGGCACAGAAGGGGCACGCCAGCCTCCTGACCTCCATGTGGGGGGTGGGGTCCCAGAGCAGACACACTGCCAGCCAATGGGGGACGCCTTCAGCACCAGTGCCCTCTGCTTGGTCCCAGCCCCATGCACAGCCCGGGCTGAGGGTTCCTCACCTGGAAAGTCAGCTGAAGGGTAGGGATCCTTCACCTCATTGACATTTGACTCAAACTCGTCAACCTTCAGCTGCAGGGAGAGACACAGTGAAAAGGAGAGAGAGATAAAAGCTGCGGTAATCAGAGACCAAACCCATTCTGGGATGCTTCTGGCTCGCTTAGCCCTCCCACAACCTGGGCGGGAGGCACCAAGGAGCAGGGGTGAGATCCTGGCTGATTCACAGTGGGGAGACTAGGCCCAGCCAGGCCACACAACCCGCCAGGGTTACGAGGGGTGAAGCCGAGTAAGCCTGTCTTCACTGTGGAGCCCCCCAGGTGCAGAGCACTTGCCCCTCAGTGTGGATTCCCTGACACTGCTCTCTACTTCCTCTGTCTGCAGGAGTGCTGGGCAGAGCCGGGCTGAAGTAACAGGCCAGGGTGGAGGCCAGGCCTACCTGTCCATGCAGGAGTAAGAGTGGGTATCCTGGGGAGGTGGCATCATATTGCTTTGGGGAAGAGCCCAGACTGGGGTGCCTTCCTCTTGGTGTGGCAAACACTGGATGAAGAGCCCGGCTCTTCCCCGCACAGAGAGCAGGCAGGTGCCATCACCCTCTGATAACCTTATAAGCCTGGCAGGTGGACCCTCTACTTTCTCCCTGAAGCACAGCAGAGACCTAGGGACCTTCAAAACCCCCCATTCTTGCCCCAAGACTGCCCACATGGGGGCTCACCTTGGCAGTAGTGGGGATGCCCTCCCCCTTGGGCTTCTGTTCCAACTTCTTGGCCATCATGGACTTCTCCTCCTCTGTCTTGTCAGGGAGACCCCTAGGTTGAATTTGAGAAATGTTGGTCTAGATGACCAGTGTGGCTTTCACTCAAAAGGAGGGTCCAGGTGACAGTCAGGACAGATCTCAGACGAATAAATTAAGAAATGGCTCAGTGGCCCCCCTCTTGGAAGCACAGAACCTGGGAGCAAGGCCAGAACATGAGGGCTGAGGTGCTTCCCTGGGGCAGCCTGTAGCGGCCCATTGCTGCCTCTAGACCCTGAGGCCTGTCTGGAAAGCCAGCCTGCCTCCCTTCACTCAAAGGGATCGCTGAAGTTCTGGAGAGAGCCACCGTTGATATCCTGGTTGCAGAAAGCTGCCCTAGGACCAGCCAGCATCATACTCATCCAGCCCCAGGAAGACCTCTGCCCAGCACTGGGAGGCCATGGCCACAGCCTCAGCCAAGCTTGTCTGGTTCCCCTCTGTGGAACAGGCACATACCTGGACATCTTCCTGCGTTTTCTCTCCTCGGCCTTGGCCTTCTGTGCTGAGGTTAGGCTCTCTGCTTCAGCCAGGTTGTCCACAGCAATGGCCAGGAAGACGTTGAGCAGGATGTCTGGGGGCAAGCTAAGGACCTTGTCGGGGGCAGCAGTCCTGACCTGCCTATATGCTGGCAGCAGCTGACAGCTGGGGTAGGGGGGCTGAAGGGCATGGGCCTGGGGACACAGACCAGAGGCCCTAGAGCATCCCACTCCCAAGGGGACCTGAACCTACCACCATCTTTGAGTCTCATCCACTTCCTGTCCAGAACTGACCCCACCTTCTAGATGGGGCTGGGCACCCCTTGAGCTCAGGAACAAGGGTTTCCCCTGTCCCCCGGCCCCCATTGCCCACCTCCCCACAATATCAAATCCTATGATGTCTGCAGCAGGATCCCACAGGTACTGCCCACCTCTCTCTGTGCCCATCTCAGTCTTTCTGGTTCCAGGGTGCACCCTGGCCACCCCTAGACCACACGTCTCTGCTGCCTTGGAATCTCTGGCTCAGGCTGTTCCCTCCTCTCCCTGCCCCTCAGCGAAGTCTGGCCTTCCTCCTCCCGGCTCCGGCTCACCTGGGTGGGATTGCTTCCTGCCATCTGCAGCAAGTCTCAGCTGTGTCTCTCTGACCTTCCTGGAGGAGGGAGTTAACCTGTAGCTCTCCTTGAAGGAGCCACCCTGGACCCCTCTTGGAAGCCTGATTCCCTGCCCCTTCCCCAAGCCCCAAGGGGATACAGTTGCCACAGACGAAAAGGATGATGAAATAGATGCACACAAGCACACCGGGGTAGGACGGGCCGCCGTAGGCCATGATTCCATTGTACATCACGGAGTTCCAGTCCTCGCCTGTCAGCACCTAGCAGGAGGGGGTGCGAGGAGGATTGGACAGGGTGACTAATGAAGGGCTTCTCCCAACATGGCAGCTCCCACCCCTTCCTCTCTATCCAGAGATGCACAGGTCTTCCCATGGCTCTTCTTCCAATGACCTAATAATCTCATCAAACCGAGCCACACTAGAGAACCTGTTGGGGTCGCCACATCCTCTATGCTGTTCCCTGTCATGGAAGCTTCCAGAAAGAGTGTGAAATGTCAGTCTCTTGCAAGAACTGGCACCACACCAGCCAGTGAGGGGAATGGGAGACAAAGAAGGAAGCTGCTGGCTGAAGACCAATGGCACAGGCTGGTCCACATGACAGGAGACATGGGCTACAGCTGGGATGAGCCATTGTACACCCTGACTCTGACTTGCAGCCATGATCTCTTGGGTGGCTTCTGGGGAACAGGCGAGTGACCTAGTCACCCTCTGGAGTGAGAATCGGGTCACTTTTTTTTTCTGGGGCTTTCCAGCCATGGGGAGACCTCACCGTGCTCACTGCCCTCTGAGAGCATGTGGCTGGGAAAGCACAGCTCACATCTCCACGCCCACCCCAGCTGCACATTTAGCAGCTGCTGCCCATGGGCACCACCGCATTGCGGGAGACAAGCAGGTCAGCATTGCATGGGTGGCGGGTTGCCTGGAGAGGGAATGGGGACTTAACCAGCAGATCAGAGAAGGTTTCCTGGAGGAGGAGGGTGCCCCTTTCTGCCTTTGGAGGACAAGAGACAGCAACTGGCAACTGACCGCATATAGACAGGGAAGGCCTACCTGGAAGACGCTGATAAGGGCCTGGGGGAAGTTGTCAAAGTTGCTGCGCCGCACCTCCGTGTCCTCGAAGTCGTATCGGCCCCCAAAGAGCTGCATGCCCAGCAGGGCGAAGATGACAATGAAGAGGAAGAGCAGCAGCAGCAGCGAGGCGATGGAGCGTATGGAGTTGAGCAGAGAGGCTACCAGGTTGCTCAATGATGTCCAGTACCTGGCGGGAGCCGGATAGCGAGGTGGGGAGGTGGCAGCAGAGCCCTTGCACGGGGCCCAGCCAGAAAAGGTTGACAGGACACGTATGAGGCAGAAAGGTTTCCAGCGCCCTATCTCCTTCCTCAGTGGACGCGGCCACACTCCTGTTTCTGGGCCTACAAGCCCCGGGTGCTCTCGGATATACCCTCCGCACCCCTGCATCAGCCTCGGGCCCTCCCCTTTTCTCATCCTCAGTCCTTCCCCTTCCCCTCCTTGCCCTCTCTCTCCCTCCATCCCCGTCCCTCTCCCTCACCAGGCCTGTGCTCACTTGGTGATCTTAAAGAGCCTCAGGAGGCGGATGCAACGCAGCACGGAGATGCCCAGGGGCGTCATGGCGCCCGACTCCACCAGCAGAAGCTCCAGGATGCCACTGCACACCACGAAGCAGTCGAAGCGGTTGAAGATGGACATGAAGTACTGGCGCAGGCCCAGCCCGTACATCTTCAGAAGCATCTCAATGGCAAAGCACGACAGCAGCACGCGGTTGGCGATGTCTGTGTGGGTGGCACAGCCTCAGTACCTCCTGGCCTCCGCCCGGAACACCCCGATTCAGCCAGCGTGGCTCACAGGAGGGGGTACTCATTTAGATTTCTAGCAAGCCCAAGCACACCCCCTGTAACAGTGCAGGGTCTTAACTCTTCCAGACCCTCTTGAGCCCATTAAGCATTGTGGCTCCCTCATTACCACACCCCTCCCTGGTGGTGGAGGAAGCCACAGCTGTTTGAAGCCAATCTGTCTTGCCCAGCAAGCCCTGCCATCCTCTACCCCCCGTCTCCAGCAGCTCACTGCCAGAGGTACCCATCTTTCTTGCTGATGGTCCCTCTGGCTTCTTCAAAGCCCACATCTCTCCTGGTTTCCTTCCATCTCTTGGCCTCCCTCTGGCTTTGCCAACACAGCCACACTGCCCGCCCCCAGGAGCAGCACTCCCTCTACACACCCTAATCTGCCTGCCCCATTTGTTCTTCAGTCCACACCGTTCACAATGTACTCCCACTGTTCCATCCAGCCACGTGGCTGTCCCCAGGGTGAGCAGCCGTCTCATCATGGCCATACCCAGGTGGAAATGTCAGCCCTCTTCTCCCAATCCCCAGTGAAGGCTGCTGTCTGGCTTTTTCGTGCATTCTCCCTCCCCAAGCCTGCCTTCTAGGCCACCTTGCAGACACTCGCTTGCCTCCTCGGCTTCTCTCCGCAGAGCCACCCCTGCTCCTGGTCACCAAATGCTTGGCTGGAGCCACACGCTTGAGTGAGCATCATCCCCTGGCCATGGGTGGTGTTAGCTCAGATGGCAGTTCCGACAGCTGTCCCTGCTGATGACATTAGTTTTTGCCCACAGATCTCTGCAGGAGCTCCAGACTCAATTCTCCACCTGCCTGCTCCATTGGCATGATTCAAAGCCAACCTGACATCCAACACCAGCCTCTCAGGGCTGCCCTCCTCCTCACTCACGGGACACCTGGTCACCGACTGTCCCTCTGTCTCAATGACACCACCAACCACTGTTTTCTGCAGGAGCCCAAACCCTCACATCCTGACTCCATCTCCTCTACACTGGGTCATGGATAATGCAGTGACAGTGCCTGGTCCATTTAAGGGACTCTCTGATTTATTGTAGTGAATGAATGAAGGCATCCTGTTTCCTTCCCATAGAAAAGACTGTCTACTTTTCCTTCTTTATGCCTTTGGCCACTGAAAGCAGAGTCTCTTCTTTCATTGGGGGCTCATCTTCAGGGCACCCATTCTCCATAAAAATTCTACAACACTGCCTGGTATGACGGCTCAATGGTCAAGTCCTCACCTTGCAAATGTCAGGATCCCACATGGGCACTATTTCACGTCCTAGTTACTATATTTCCCATCCTGCTCCCTGCTTGTGGCCTGGGAGGACATCAGAGGATGACCCAAAGCCTTGGGATTCTGTACCGACATGGGAGACCTGAAAGAAGCTCCCGACTCCTGGTTTCAGATTGGCTCAGCTCCAGCTATTGCAGCCATTTGGGGAGTGAACCAGCTCATGGAAGAATTTTCTCTCTATCCCTCTTTCTCTCTGTAAATCTGCCTTTCAAATAAAAATAATTAAGTCTTTAAAGAATTTTACAGCAATGCTTCTAAAAGTTCATGGGAAAAAACTGAATCATAAAGTAAGTTTATTTTACTACAAATACATTTTGAAATGTGCATCCAAAAGTTCTTAGAAATTCACAATCATGGAAAAAATTATGCAAGGATGACAAATGTGAAATGTGTTTGCATCCAAATAAAACCTCATTTTAAAATTATATTTTCCATGAACTTGGCACAGTGTACAGGGTTGAGGGGCAACCTGTGTCCTTTCAGGATCCCTCTTGCTGGCCTCCAACTTTCATGTTACTGTCTCAGCCCAGGGGCCCTTGCACACTGAACAGATGTGCTGTCGAGGTGCTGAGTGAGTTCTCATTTTCCCCTGGAGTCATTTTCCTATCCCTTCAGGGTCCCCAGCAAGGACCAAACCCCCAAGAGACAGTGGGCTTTTTGCTTTCACACATGGCAGCCCTGCCAGGGCCCTGGCTCTATGTGGTATGCCAGCCCCAGTTCCCTGCCTCAGATAGGCCCAGGGCCCTGTCTCCTGTCCCTGACTGGGCAATTAGAACCCAGTTGCTAGCTTTTAGGGTTTAGGCCCAGGTAGAAAAGGTCTTAGCTTTCTTGTAATATGCCTTGCCCAGGAGATTTTTGAAGACCCCCAAAGATACATGGATTTTGAAAGCTTTTGCACCAAAACAACCTCAATATTTTAATATTTAAAGTCAAGAACAGTTCTCTCTTTCTGTCTTGGCTTGCTTTTTAGGCCTTCCCCACAGTGTGCACTCTGTAAGTAGCTGGGGACAGGTTGCTGTGTTTATAGTGTGATTTGAATGACCATGGCTGCCGAGAGCACCAAGTTACTGGGACTGAGACAGTTTGCCCAGGCACCTGGGCAAGCACTGGGAGGGAGGTTGTCTTGTGCTGCCGTTCCAAGTCCTCGTAACTAGCAGTGCCATGAAGAGGCAAGTTGGGGTGTCAGGTCTCCATTTCCCTGCTGTGAAAGGATGGGGTTAGAATTTAAGGCCCAGCATCCACAGTCCACTCTTTCCAGGAAATCACGATGGCTGTATCTGATTTGATTTTCCCAGCCATGCCGTTGGCGGCTTCTCATCAGATCGCACCTGCCTTCTCGCTTGCTTTATCCCACACTGTCTCACCTTGCAGTTGGGTCAGCCAGGGTGGCTGGTTGTGGTGCTCCGAGGCGATGGACAGGGTGTTGAGGGCCACGATCAGGATCACCAGCCAGTAGAAGACCCTGGACTTCACCAGGTCATGGCACTTCCAGCGAAAGACACGGTTCCACTGTCGCCAGTGTCGGCTGAGGGAGGGGCAGAGTAGGAGGGGCCAAGAGCTTTGTGCCCTGGCTCTCAGCCATGCCAGCCATGCCAGCCATGCATGGCCTCATCACCCATCCTCCCCTCCAGCCACCTGAGAGATGTTAAGGGCAGAAGCCAGGGAGCTAGGCTGATTTCAAGCTGTTGCTCACCACAAGGGTCTTCCTCTTTCAAATGAGAGCAATAATTCACACTGTATAACAGGCCCAATAAGTAATAGGCACTCAATGGGGCTGTTAGATGAGATTATGCTAGCAAGAGGCTTAGCCCAGGGTCTGGCACTGGACAGGTCAATAAAGTTGTCATTTCAATGGAAGCGATATGGAGATGCCACATTTCACCCACCAGAAAAATGCTTCTTTAACAAATTAATAATTCCTGAGACAGTGAGGGGAAAAGGGCACTTTCATGGTTAGGGTAACCTTTTTGACAAGTGACTGGGTGGCATTTATCCAATGTTTAAGACCTACTGCCCTTTGACTCAGTAATCCTTTCTAGGACTCTGCCCAGCAGACACAGTGGTACTTCAGCACAGTGTTTCCACATTGCCCCCAACTGGAGAGTCGGTATGGTAGCATGGCAGGTTAAGCCACTATGTGCGATGCCAGCAGCTCATATCAGAGTGGTGATTAGAGAACCAGCCACTCTGCTTCCCATTCAGCTCCCTGCTAATGTTCCTGGAAAGGCTGCAGAAGATGGCCCAAAGTACTTGGGATTCTGCATTCACATGGGAGCCCCAGATGGAGTTCCAACTCCTGATTTTGGCCTGATCTAGCCTTAGCTATTTCAACCATTTGGGAGAAATAAGTCAATGGGTAAAATATTCCTCTTTCTCTGCCCATTTTCCTTTCTCTCCCTCTCTCTCTGTTTTAAGTCAACAACAACAATAACAACAAAACCATTATGACATAATTATATTGTGGGGTATTTTACAAGCAAAGACACACCAAAAAAAAAGGTATGTGTATCTATCTATCTATCTATCTATCTATCTATCTATCTATCTATCTATCTATCTATCTATGTAAATGTGCATATATACACATGAGCACATACTGGTGTGTGTGTGTAATCAACAGAGGATTCTAAGTAAAGCGTGTAAACCATGAGACATGTTCATCGTGAGACTATCATCTTCACTCGGTAGCACCTATGTGCCAGGCATGGTTCTCATCTCTGTAGAAATGGAAGTTAATATAAACACCTTCAGCATATAAAACAGAACCAGAAAAATCCTGGGCATGTGTGTCAGAGAGAAGACGGCACAGCACAGATCTAGGAGGGACATGGATCTAGCTGTTGCCATGGTTACCTCTTGGCAGGGTAGTGGGCCCTTGGGATGTATCTATTGTTTGAGCTTTTAGTTGCATGTGAATTTGCAAAATGAGCCGGCCAGCCAGCCAGCCAGCCGGCCAGCCGGCCAGCCAGCCGGCCAGCCACACAGCAGACAGAGCCTCCATCGCCTGGACCCCTCCCCCTATGTGCCCACCGGCTGCCTGGAAAGCTCCCTGCTTTGTATTTCCTCTTTGTCCCACACCTTGCAGATGAATCAGTTAGAGTGAGAATTCCCATGCCGGCTGGCTCCCCTACCTGCACCCCAGCTGAGTCGGCAAGGTGGTGGCTGTCCCGTGGCCCTGAAGGCTCCCATGTCATCCTTATGTGGTGCATAGACAGGTCACTGTTCCAGGACCAGTTTGACCACATAGCCCCTAGCACCTGGCTGCAGGCCAGACACTCAGAGTGAGAGCTGGCCCTATTTTCTCAGAAAAGCCACCCTTCTTAGGGCTTTGGAAAGGGACTCTAAAGCCATGGAGGTGGCAGGAGTTTTGGGGGTTGGGGGCTGGGAGGCTCCTGGGGGGCCATGAGCAGAGACTCACATGAACTGGATGAGTTTGTTCAAGCCCTCAATTTCATACAGGCTTTCTGTGTCGGAGCCACCCTCTTCCAAGGACAGCTTGCCTGGGGAGAGAGTGGGAAAGACCCAGGTGTTCAACCAGCCTGGGCAGTACCTGTGAGGTACTGAGACGGGGTGCTTTCCTGAGACCCAGGTCCTCTGTGGGGGGAGTGGCTGGCCTGAGAGAAGCCGCTGGCACTCCTGGAACCCACAGGGAAAGGTGGGAGGCTTTGGGTGGCCATCATCCTGGATGGACAATGTGACCCCTGCTCAGTGGGGATGTTGGGACCCACTGGCCAGGACCTCTGGGCCCAAACCTTCTCTCAAGTCCTCCACATCCATGACCTCGCCCTGCGTGATCCAGCTCATGTAGCCGCGAAGGTCCTCCTCCAGCTGCTGCTTCTCCCGCAGTTTCTGGAAGGTTCCCCTGGACTTGGCTTTCTCCCGCTCCTTGGTGAACTCTCTGAAATGAAACAGGCAGGTGGAAAATGAGAAGGGACAAGGGGTGGGCATGAGGCAGACTGAACTTCGGAGGACAGAGCAGGTACGTTCTGGAGGTGTGTACACCTTGCTCTGTCCCTGGGATATCACCTAAGGCTTTGGACCCCTTAAGGCCCTGAAATGCAGCCCCTTCATCACCCCCTGCCCTGTCCCCAACCTCCTTGGGGTACTGCTTGCACCTTCTTACATATTTCTTCCCACCCCATCTCACTGTCTTAGATGACAGCGGAGTGCATGGCCCTAAACAAGCCAGTCATGGGACTTGAACCTTTGAAACTCTTCACAGAACATAAGGCCTGAGGAAAATTCTGGGCCTAGAGGCTGTGGAGCTGGAGGGAGAGACCAGGAACTCAGTGAGCAAACTTCAGACCAGCAGGGGGCGTCCCCAGGCCTCTGGGCAGGGCTGAGGCTCCAGAGGGCAGGAGGACTGGCCAGGTCTCCCTGGCAGCGTGGGGCCTAGGCAGAGCTTGAACCATTTTGTGCCACGGACCATTTGGCAGTAAGTGAAGCCCGTGCAGCCGCCGTGAGAATCATGCAATCACAGTATCTCAGTAAGTACTACTACAAGTTTAGAAAATGTGACAGCCAGATGGCTTTTCTATTAACCTGCTGGCAGGCAAGAACTAGTTGCAGGCTTAGTAACCGTGATAAGCTCAGAGTCGCAATGGGTGTGACTAACATTGGCAACAGCTGGATTGCGACCTTTGACTTTTGTGCTGCTTTACCATGGTCATTGTTAACAGAAATCTGATATTTCAGCTAGAGTAATGCAAAGCAAAGGGAAGAACTAGCCAAGTTCATAGCCCCCTGGAGCCCTGGAGGGAAGCTTAGGGGGTGGGGCAATGCCAATGGTTCTCCACATGCTGGGATCTCAGCAGGGCTGTCCCAGGGAGAACAGTGCTACTGATCAATGAGTACCAACTGCTAGTACTTAGTGCTAAGTACTTTGTCCTCACAAGCATCCTAGGAGTTGAGTACTGAGATATTACACTTTAGGGGGAGTGGTCAGGTCAAAGTCACACAGCGGCTGGACAGAGGGCAGGGGTTTATACTTGGCAGTCAAGCTCTGCTGAGCGTGCCCTTAGGCACATAGAGCCAGGCGGTGGGAGCCTGGGGCTTCTGCTCAGGGCTAGCAATGCAGCCCCAGGCAGAAGGAGGCAAAGGTGGGAGAGGCAGAGGAGGGAGGAAAACCCAGTGTGGAAAGGCTCCTGCTTGCACTTCACGTCTCTTCTACACTTGCCAGAAGGAAGTGCTGTTGGCCAGCTGGGCAAAGGGGTTCCAGGGGATGGTTCCAGCCAGCACAATCCCAGGGCCGCTCCTACCCTTGCTTCCCTTCTTCCCGGTTCCTCCTCTCCCTTCCTCCCCACTGCCCATCTGCCCTTGAGTGTCCTCACCCGCTCAGGACACCCAGCACCAGGTTGAGGATGAAGAAGGAGCCCAGGAGGATGAGGGTGACGAAGTAGATCCAGGGCCATTCGTTCCCGATGGCATCATTGACCTGGCCCAGGCAAAGATGTGAGTCTCTCCCTGTAACATGCCATTCAGGTTCCCTCCCCAGCACACGGGGGATTCCACCTGACCCATGAGACAGGCAAAGGGCTGTGGGCCCAATGAGGGGCACCCCATCACCCCAGGATCCAGGCTCTGGGATGGAAGGATCTCCAGGGATGCCCTGATGACTGTCTACGTGGCTAGCCAATGGACCAGTTGCCCTCCAGCTCTTCCAGCATGGCCCTGACCTGGCCCCTCCTGGACACTGTCTCCAGCCAGGTTTCCAAATGTGACCCTGTGACCTTGACCTGGTCACCTAGCGTCTGAGCATTCTCCCATCTATCTAGTGGGCACCACAGCCAGTGCCCGTTTTTCCCAGTCTTGTGACACAGGTGATGGTCCTCTGACACATTTGCTAGTTCCTCTCTGCTGATGTGAGTGCTCTGAAAGTATTCATCCCGATGCTTTATATTTGCAAAATATTCAAGAGGTCTAGACACTGTCACATCGTGATGAAGAGTTCTAGATTGGAGCCAGTAGATTAGAGCCCAATTTTGGGTCAGTGGCTCCCTAAAGTCCATAAACACGGGCAGGTTCCTGGGCCTCACTGAGACTTGATTTCTTTATCTGCATTTCCATGATTGTAGAATTAAATAAGCAATGCAGACTGGCTCTTAATAAGCACAAACAGCACATTCCTACTGGAAAACCCTCGTACAGTGCTAACCCTGCACCAGACACTCTTCCCCTGTGTGATGCAGGCGGGATCAATACTCTCGTGTTACAGGTCAAGACGCTGGAACCTGATTCTGAGTTCAGAAAAGCGATCTCGCAAGATGGCAAGGAGAAAGATTCAGGAGGGGGCAGCTCACGGCCTGGCTTGGGGAACCCAGGTGGCTTCCCACTTTTTTTCCCCATCCCCTCGGCCTGCACCTCTGTACACTTTGTACCATGGGACTGCCCCTACAGGATGCTGGGAAGACTTAAACTGGGGAAGCAGAGGTAGGCTACTGGTCAGGAATACCACCCCTCCCTGCCCCAGCACCCTAAGTGGAATGGCCAGGCACTCTGCTCGCTCACTCCCCGGACCCAGGCATGCTGGTTAGTGATGGCTGTCATGGGTGCAGGAGAGGGGCTGGGTTTATTTCAGACCTGACAGGTCACTCCAGCCTCAGCCCGGAACCGGAAAGGGCCACAGAAGCCAGACACGTCATTGGACTAGCAGGGCACCAGCTGGCCAATGGTGAGCCTACCTTAATATTCCTTACCTAATTAGGACTTAAACAGAGCCTGTGCCAGCTTCCATGTTGGAAGGGGCATAAAACACTCCCGCATGTCCTTCTGCCTGCCTTTGTTCCCTTGCAAGTCCTCAGATCTTTCTCTTTCCCTTCTCCTCTTCCTCCCCCACCCCTGCTGTGCTGTCTGGGGTAAAGGCCCAAGGACGGATCTCAAAAGCCTCTGTGCATCTTTTTTTACAATCTGCTGCTGTTTTTACAAGTGGTCGGCAAATCTAACAGTCAGGATCCCGCCACCACGTCCCGCCACCCCCCGCCCTGAATGGAATGGCCAGGCGTCCCCACCTTACCCACCCAGTAAAGGACATCAGTCCAGCCCTCCATGGTGATGCACTGGTATACGGTGAGCATGGAAAAGCCGAAGTTGTCGAAGTGAGTGATGCCGTGATTGGGCCCCGGCCAGCCGCCCCGGCACTCGCTGCCATTGATGGTGCAGGGGCGGCCCGAGCCTGTCCTGGCGCAGGGAGAGGGCTTCTCATTCTCCACTGTGGCCACGATGTCTGCAGGAAACCAGCAGAGACAGGAGTGGGAGGACAACAAGGGAGAAAGACGGAGGGGGGCCCTGGAGTCAAGGCGTAGCGGTGGTGGCTGTCGGGCAGGCTGAGGGCTGCTGAGGTGCAACCACGGAGCTGAGTAACCCAGGTGTACCCATAACACTTTACAAGAAGCAGGATGGCCCAGCTAGACTGCAGCTGGGAGCTCTGACCTGCGCATCCTGTGTGGGATGCGAACCTGAGAGTGCTGTGTTAGGCTGCATCGGACCCCTGCACTCGTGCAAGGGTCCTCTTTTGGTGGAGTCCTTGCCCATCCTTGGCCCATGTTCCTTCCCCCTGCTGCTGTCTCTAAGCTCCTCAGTGTGGGTACCTTCTAATTCCCTCTGAGTTCTGACCACAGCTTAGCTCCCCAGCCATAGAGCATCCTGCCTCACTTGAGTTACCAGGTAGGCTCAACTCTGTGAAGATGGATTGGTGGGGAGAATGCTAATGGTCAGATGAGGTCCCTGTCCCGTGCTGTCGGGAGACCCAGACAGAGGGGGCCTTCTGAGCATGTGTCAGGATGCCACGAGAACACCCTGTGAGACCACCATCTGAGTGTCACAGACCATGTAGGTGGTCGTAGTGATGGACAGAGGCTGCAAGGGGTGGGGCTGGGGAAGCAGACAGCTTCATAAGAGCTGACTTGTTAATGTCAGATTCAGGCCTCACTCAACTTTCTCCTCATGAGACACGGCAGATCCCCATGGTGTTAGACACCTGGGCTCGGGGACTGGTCTCGCTTTACGAGGGGTCAGCTCCTTCCTGCACTATCCACAGGTGGAGACTGGACCCCAGCCTGTGAGCAGGGAGTGGCCAGCCCCAGAAGAGGGCATGGAAGCCCTTGGGGGCATCCACCTGACTATCTGCATATTTCAGGCTAAGTGTCCCAGGTCCGAAATGTTTAGGCCCAGAAAAACTTCTGATTTTGGAATACTTGTGGACACATGGTGAAATGCCTTGGGAGTGGGACCCAAGCCTCCACGTGAAGGCTGTCTATGTTTTACCTGAATTTTAGACACCTAGCCAGAAGGAAGCTTATACAATATTTCTAACAGCATTGCACACAGGCAGCTTCGTGGGGTGAGATTCTCCACTTGTGGCATTCAGTCATGTCAGCACTGTGGGACATGTGGGCCATTTAAATCTTGGGTTTTTCAGACAGAGCTGCTTAACCTGTAACACTCAGACCACTCTCCCGGTGGGGTCACCGGTGGCTCTAGGAAATATGACATTGGGACAGACTACACGCTGAAGGGGCCAGGAGAGCCAGCTGATTTCACTAAGCCAGGCAACAGGAAGGTTTGTAAAAACTGTAAAATGTTGCTGCCCTTCTCACGATTTCCTTTTTTGGAAAATAGAGATAATGTTTATTAAAATATGTTATTTATGTCCATACATCATGGATTCATTAGTGGTTTTGGCACTTGCATGCTTCCCTTCCCGAGGACCCATTCAGAGGCTTCCTGGGGTACCGTCCCTGAGAGGCCCCTGGAAGTGAAGTTGGAACTTTACCTCCAAGGGGAAATACAACTGGAGGGAAATACACAGCCCACTCCCCTGGATAACTGGCTCTGGAAGAGCTGTCCATCCTGCAGCTGCCTGCTGCCCAGGAGAAGGCCATTCTCCAGGACAGTAAGTGTGGGAGGCCAAGGCCTACCTCTCTCCCCACTCACTCCTACCCCTGTCTTCATGGGCTGCGGTGGTCCCATGCTGAGTTGTCCTTGGGCCTCTCCCACCCTGCAGTTCACAGGGGACTCACCTGTCCCAATGTAGTAACAGGTCTTGTGCATTTTGCCTTTGAAGAGCTCGAGCCCGATGATGGCGTAGATGATGACCATGAAGAGGACCAGCAGGGCGATGTGGAACAGGGGGAGCATGGCCTTAAAGATGGAATTGAGGACCACCTGCAGGCCTGCGGCAGTGGCAGAGGAGAAGAAGTCAGTCCTTCTGCTGGACTTCTGGGCCCACCCTCCTGGAGATCTGGGCTGTCTCTGGGACCCACAGGTAGGTGGAGACACCAAAGCTGAGGACAAGAGGCCAGGGCAGGAGGGGAGGGAGGGCTCTGCCCAGGCACTGCCACCCACTGGGCACCCCCGACAGCAGCCGGAGGGGTCTGAGCACACGGAAGGCTCTCAGGGCTTTGACGTCCAGGCCAGCTCCCTTGCTGCTCATCGGGGCCGTGTTGCTCTGGATGACGTTGACCTGTTCCAGAATTGCGGTGAAGACCCTGGGGGGCAGAAGGGGCCAAGGAGGGCCAGTGGTGAGAGGAGCTGCTGTCCCAGGGCCTCCTGGGTCCCCTCCTGGCTGAGGGAGCCTGTGGAAAGGTTCAAGGGAGAGAAGGCAAACAGGATTCATGCTCCTGCTAAGTTTGGCTGGTTGGGTAACACCTCGTGAGCGAACATTCTACTGGAAAGGGTGCCGGGGCTTCCGAGGAGAGCACTATGATCCATTCGCCAGGTCTGCTCTGGGTGCTGCAGTGCTGTGATCCACTAGACATGTCTGCTTTGGTACCTAAGCGAGGTTGAGGTCACTGGCCTGGCGCTGTGTAACACTCCAGGTGGGCCGAGGGCTCCACAGTGGTCACTCCAGCCTAAAGCCCAGTGCCAGCTGACCCTCAGGCTTGTCCTCAAGCTGCTGCCCTTGCACTCTCCCTCCTGCTAACTCTCTCCCATTTGCACAAATCCCCACTAGCCCTTGGCATCCACTTCAAATCCCCTTGCCTATGAATCGTTCTTTCACCAGCCTGACCCCTTGGCCAAAGCATGTTGGAAACAAGGGGTACTTATAGCCTTGGGTTTTCACACCACATCATTCAGCACTCATTTGTCTTGGCTTATAGCCAGTGCAGTCCCTGAAGGATAAAGGCTAATTCATAGAAGGCAGTGCTGGACAGGCCGTAGATACCAACATATCACATGCCAAACTGACGGGCCCAGCAGTTGAGATGTTAGCCAAGCACCCACAACATGTCTGAACCCTTGGATTTAATTCTGGCTCCTACCTCCAGCTTCCTGCTAGTACAGACCCTGGGAGGCAGCTATTGCAATTGGCTTCCTCACGCTCCAGTGGGAGACCTGGACTGAATTCTGAATTCTCTGTTCCTGGTTTTGAACTCAGTCCAGTCTCAACCATTTGCAGGTTTTTCAGGAGTCAACCAGTGAATGGGAGTTCTCCCTCTGTTTCTGTCTTCCGAACAAACAAATAATAAATTTTTTCAAAGATTGATTTAATTTTATGGGAAAGGCAGATCAGGTTTATGGAGAAAAGGAGAGACAGAGAGAAGGATCTTTCATTTACTCCTCATATGGCTACAATGACCAGAGCTGAGCCTATCTGAAGTCAGAAACCAGCAGCTCCCTCAAGGTTTTCCATGTGGTGCACAGTCCCAAGGCTTTGGGCCATCCTCTATTGCTTTCCCAGGCCATGAGCAGGGAGCTGTTTGGGAAGTATAACAGCTGGAATATGAACCAACACCCACATGGGATCCTGGTGCTTGCAAGGTGAAGACTTAGCCAATTGAGCCATTACACTTGGCACAATAAATACTTCTTGAAAAGAGGCTAGGCTCTGTAGCCCTGGCTGCCTTGGTTTGAGGGCTAGCCCCCCCCCCCCCCAGCTGGCTATGTGGTCTGAAGCAAGTTGGATAACCCGCCCATGTCTTCTGTCCCTTGACCCTAAAATGGGAGAAACAAGAGGATTCCTGGAAGAATTGAATGAGATGTGTAGAGTATATAGTAATTGCTCAATCAATGCTGCTGTTCTAGTTGGGTGGTGGCTACTAAAGGTCGTGTTATGGGTTGAACTGTGTCCCCTCTGAAATCACCTGGTGAAGCCCTAACTTTGCCTCCCCAGGACCTCAGGATGTGGCTGTGTGTGGACACAAAGGCCTTCAGAGGTGATTATATTAAAATAAGGTCACAAGGGCAGCCCAATCTAGTTTGATTGATGCTCTTATGAGGAAAACTTGGGACACAGAGAGAGAGAGCAGGCTCCTTGTGCACAGGGAGAGATCATGAGAAGGACGTGTTGAGAAAAGGCATCTGTCATTGCAGGAGGGAGGGAAGTCGGGGGAACCAACCCACTGTCACTGCGACCTGGGACCCGCCGCTTGCACAACTGCAGGAAAGTAACCCTCCTGTGATTGAGCCCCTCTGTGGACTGTGTTGGGCAGCCTAGTGGCCACTCCATGCTTATCTTCATGTACTTTACATGAGGAACCCCACAGCAGGTTTGTGTAGTGAATGACTCAACAACATAGGTGGAAGAATGCATGCGTACCTAGCAAGGGGAGGGGTGGTGACTGCCAGGGCTGGCCTCCTTCAGGAGCTGCTCCACGGTGTGGCCAGCACAGCACTGGGCTTCTGTCTGCCTCAGGGCTGTTGGCTGTGGTTGGGCAGCATCCTCGGGCAGGCTCAGCCTCCAACCCCCGCCTCCAAACCAGGCTCACCCCAGGAAGACAATGATGAAGTCCAGCACGTTCCATCCACTGCGCAGGTAGGCATCCTGGTGGAAGAGGAAGCCATAGGCGATGATCTTCATGGCAGCTTCAATGGAGAAGACGGTGAGGAAGAAGTACTCCAGCTTCTCCTGTGGGGGTGTAACTGGTCACACCTGGGCCACAAATGGGCACACACCCAGGGCACCTGGGGTGCCCCACCTCGCAGACCACTGCTCCATATCTTGTACTACTATGGGGGTGGTGCTGGAGTGCCCGGTGACCTCCTGTGGCAGAGGCCAGCAGGCAAGAGGTGGAAGGTTCAGCTAAGCCCCACCTTTCAGAGGGCCTGGCTGACTCCTTTAGGTCTCTCCCCTGCAGCCAGATCTCCTGACTTATTCATTCCTGGCTGCCTCCCCCTCCTACCTCATGTTCAGGTGAGTGTTCATTCTAAGGCAGCAGGTCCCTACTGCAGGTCACCAGGTTGGCACTGCCTTCCTTGTAGCCATTTGAATCCTGGTTAGGCAGCTCCCAAGAGCCCTGCCCGCCCCCACCAGACTACCCCAAGCAAGCCTCCCCAGCCTCCCCAAGAGCTGTTGCCCAGTCTGTTACCTGGGCCAGCTGTAGCACTGTACAATTCGTGGAGGAGAAAGACTTGATGGTACCCCTGCAGTTGTGCTACAAGAGGGCCTGTGTCCCATGGTCCCAGGCCCCATCACTGCGAGTCACCGATACCCTCTGCCAGCAAAGCAGGCCAAGAGGCCCAGGCCCTCTGCCCACCAGCCACTGCAGAGGCATAGCTCACACTGTGGGCTCATAGCTGCTGCTTGACTCCAAGCAGAGCCAGATTTGGGAACTTGCTTGCCCCATCCATTCTTGTGATTTGGAATTTGAATTTGCTTCCAAGGGGGCAGATGTGTGAAACATGGGCACAAGCTTGCATGTGGCACCGGAAATCTCCAGACTCGTGACTCAGGGATTTTCCCTGAATACAGCCCTTCTTCTTTCACGCAGCAGGTAAGGGAACTGAGGCACAGGTGGGGGAACCAAGGTGCAGGTGGGGGAAGCAAGGTGTAGTAGGGGAACTGAGACACGCATGGGCTGGAGTCCTTTCCTGAGCCTCACCCCTGATTCTATCTCCTGATTTGTGCCCTCAAAGCTTCTTCCTTCTTCCAGAAGACAACGGTGTAATGACTGAACTGCAGGACCACATCCTGCTGCAGAAGGGCCTGTAGGTCAGGACCCTGCTTAACATGATGTGGGAATCCAGGGCTGACTACTTCATGGAAGGGGACCACAGAGGGAGTCAGGATACTGTCCTACTGAGAGGACTGGGGTACAGGCTGCTTTTGAGGAGGTGTGAGGCATGGGTCTCCTTGGACTTGGCCAGGTGCTATCCCGGGAACCAAGCCACCTAAAGCAGAGGCGTAGGGAAGAGAGTGAAGGTCCAGTCAGCATTTCAATTTTCAGGTCACTTCCACCCCAGGACACAGACAGAGGAAGGTTGAGGGGAGGGAAAACAGGACCCAAAAATAGCTGCAGTGTTCACAGGCTGGGCAACCAGCCAGACGCGCAGGAGAGCTGCCTGCACCTGCCACTGCCTGTCCAGCCACTGCCCAGCTCACTGGGGCCATGGGCCCAGCTGGGGTCACTCAGGTTCCCCAGCCCATGGCTCTGAGGTATAGCTCACCTTGTCCTCCTTCCTGCAGCCCAGTCCTGGAGAGCCTGGGCTGAGAGCATGCCACGGGTCCTGGCCAGGAGGAGGCAGAAGAGGGCCAGGCCCAAAGTACACCATGAGCCCAGGGGCACCCGTGTCACCCTGTGCTGGCCCTATGGCCTCTGAAGCCCAAGCTGAAGCCTCCACTGGGAATGAGGTGCATACAGGCCACAGAGAGTGACTAAGCTCTGGACTGGGCACTATGGATGTCTCTGCAAGATCAAAGTCATTAACTTTTCCCTAAAGCATCTTGATTTCCATCGGCAGGGCATCTGCCACGAGCAGGTGGGAGGCAGCTGGGATCTGGCCTATAGGCTGTGCTCTACTGGGAAACTTCCTAAGCTTCTGAGTGTGACATGTGATTGCTGGCTACTGGCCACACTTCTGGCCCATGGGGAAGACTTCTGTGTCCCCTAGCTGCCCTAGCCATGATGCCTGTGCCCACCATGGCCTTTCTGCCAGGTTCTCTGCTTGGTCCCCAAGCCTGTCACCTCTCCTTTTTAACCCATAGGAGAGTTCACTTTAGCTGTCAGACGGCGCCCTTGGCCAGCTGCAACTTCCTGGAGGCCCATGGGGTGTCCCTAACAGTAGGGGTGCCAGGACAGACAAGACCTTTCCCCAGCAGCAATGGTGTAATGGGGCTAATGCACCCATTGCCACTGAAGGTGACTGAGGGCAAGATTTTTGTCTAAACAAGCATTGTGGCTATCTCCCCTGGGAGTCCTGACACCCCATCCCCAGGACACAGGTCCTCAACACCCAGAGGAAATTCAGGCTCAGGGCTCCAACCCTGGCTCTGCCCTCCGTTGGGTGCTCATCCCAGGTCACTTGGCTGTCTCCCGCCAGCCCTCAGTCTTCCTCTGTCTTCTGACTCTGTTTTATGTCTCTTGGCAACATCGGGCAGCACTGGGCTTTCCAGCTATTCACATCACTGCTTTAGCTGCCTTTCCTGCACCTGGGACAGTGCCTACCCTGCTGATTTGTGTGCCTGGCTGAAGGAACCAGCATCCAAAGCATTGTCATTGTGGAACGGGCTGTGGGCAGCTACTGCTCCACGCCAGCCACAGTGGCTCTGGGGTGAGTTTGGGCTCTGAGCAGCACCAAGTCTCTTTTATGGTGATCCTATCTGTAGCCACTTCCCAGAATGTGGCATGTGGGTGGGCAGCAGTTCCCAGCTGGGCCTGTCAGTCCCAAGGCCAGGTCCCTGCGGCATGAGCTGTGAAATAGCCCTCTTGCAGGACCATGAGATGGGACACAGAGGATTGGAGATGACAGCAACAGACTGGCCCTCACACAGAGCATCTCAGAGCACATCATGCTGCCACACAGTATGTCTTGAGAAATGTTTGGTGAAGGAATGAGCGATGGGAAGCTGTGCTGGCCACTGTAGCAGAGACACCAGACCTCAGCCCCTGCCACCACAGCCAAGGGACAGGACCTTCCCTGGCCTCCTCGGCCTCCTGAACTCAGACCAGGCCCAAGCACTCTGGGGTCTCTGGGATCAGCACCCTACAAGGGTCCTTATCACCCCATACCCACTCCTTGCAGTTCTCCTTGCACATCCTGGGCCACTGTTGGTGGGAGGTAGGCCTGGGGCACAATGCTGACCCCTAGACCTTGCACCTGCTCCCAGGGCTGCTGGAGCTGGCCCTCCCTAAGTTCTGGGCTGAAGAAGGCAGGGCTCAGGCCACACACCCCCTCATTTCCCCACTGCCTCCATTTCCAGGTCAAGTCTTCCATCCCAAGGATGAGCCAGTCCCAGGTGCTCCCCCACCTGGCACTGCTTGACTTATGGGAAGACGGGATCAAGCTGGGCTCCCGTCCTAACGCACCTGCGCTGCATATCTCCCCATCTGTGACCTCTGCCACCTCCTTCCCCAGCACTCCAGTTCCAAATGCTATGACCTGGTCTGAACTCTATTCTCCCAGGCTGCCTGTGTCCCCTTGGAGGACTCTTGGACGCACAGATGTTTGCAGAAAGGACCTTAATGGCTAGAGTGGGATGTCAGAAGCATCAGAGAAGTTTTGCTGTGGGCACATGGCTGTTACCCAGTGCCTGTCCATCCTTGGAACTGAAAATCATCCTCCTTTGGGTTAAGGTCTCACAAATCCTGCAGGTGCAGGAGGCACTTGGTGCTGTCCACTCTTTGGGGAGCACCTGCTTCAGGGAGGCAGAGGGGGAAGGGATACAGGATGCCAGGAGAGGTCAGGGGGTGGGGGACCCAGTGAGACCCACACACATCCCTCCACTCTGAGGAGCCTCCCAGCAAGTGCTCGGACAGCAGGGCAGGCCTGACTGCTGTGAAGTGCTTTTCCCACAGTGACGCTTGCTTTTCTTCCTTGTCCACCCCCTTGAATCTATCCCAGAAGGTTTGTGGCAGGACCCCATGATTCATTCCAGGGATGGGAGATCTTCAAAGTCAAGTCACAGGGCCCTCAGGGTGCGAGATGTGGCAGAGTCTGGGACCTCCTGGAGAGCAGGGAGACTCCTGTCTTAGTCTATGACCCCATGACCTTGGCAGGTGGAATGACCGCAAGCACCCAGACTGTCCTGGAGTTACCCCACAGGGCTGGGCATGCAGAACTCACACCAAGTGGCTCCAGAGGAGAAACAGGCATTTCTCACACCCCTCAGTTGGGTACCCCAGATCGGCCCTGCCATCCCCTGTCCCTGTTTCACAAACAAGGAGTCCAAGGCCCCGCCCCACCCAAGAGATGCAGTCAGCCTTTCTGGAACAGCCTCAGGCGCCGGTCACTGTGGCCACAGCCTCCACCAGGTGTGTGTGAGCTGGGGGATGAAGGAGGCATATTACCACACTCCCAGGCTCCAGGTTTGGACAATGACCTGGTAAGGTGAGGGAGGCACCTCAGAGGGCCTGATGAACCCTCCCCCAGACAGCCATGACCTCAGAGGGCCTCTTGACCTCTGAGCTCCCCATTTCCCTTCTCCCTGGTGGAACCCAGCTCCAGGGCCATGTGGGCAGGGGAACAGAGGGGCTGAGGACTGGAAGAATGGTCAGTACCCTTGGGAAAGGGGTGGGAGGGCCGGGGAGGGGGAAAGGGAACCAGATGACACGAGCCACACTGTTTAGCAGCCACTGTTCCAGGCACATGTGTGCATTTAATCCTCACCCAAGCCCTGTCCATGGGATTCCCTCACCCCTACTTTACAGGTAAAGTAATGGAAGCACAGAAAGGTTGAGTGAGTTCCCCAGGAGCACACAGCTACTGAGGGGCAGTACTGCGTACAGGTTCAGACTCCAAAGGAGGATGGGACTTTAGAATGCATCCACCAGATCCACCCCCCAGGTCTCCCACTGCTCTCTCCATGGGCCTGGGCTCAGAGTGGCCATAGCTGTTAGTGCAAACAGGATGTGCATTTGCAGAGCCAGGCTCCAACAGCCAGGTGGTTAGAAGGACCAGAGAGGGTCCTGT